TGCTAATTTGGTCGAAATTTTAAGAAATAGCGAATTTTATCATATAAATAAGTAAAACAAATTTCTTTATATATTTTTCAAAAAAAAAAAAAAAAAAAAAAAAAAAAGAGGCAGGCCTCTTGAATTAATATTGATCATGTAGGCTTGTATTTAGTCATTGAATTATTTTAGTTTCTAATAGTTAATATCTTCATCTCTCTATCATAAGGATGACATCGTTTGATGATGTCAATGCCTTCCGATTACTAAGGAACTTAACATACATTTTTACATTTGTGGTATCTCCAATTGAAAAAGGATGTCATCATAAAGAAATTACCATTTTTTACCATCAATGTGGATAATCAATTTTCATTTCTTATCGCAAAAGTTGCCTCTCGAGAGGTTACAGTATGTCAACAATGTCGATAAGTAAAAGATGTGTCACTTTCAGTTTAGTTGATAAAATGAATGTCACTTTCAGTTTAGTTGATACAATGAAAGCGTAGATAAGTTCTGTACAATCATTTCTGTTAATTCTGCTTATTGACAAATATGCTAGAGAAAATAATTAACTACTTAAGTTAACTGTAGTTCACATCAAACCTTCACAGTTTCACAAAAACATTTTAATTAATATAAACCAAAGGAAATAATTCCCAAAAGTTTCTTCTGTATATTCCAAACACGATTTTTTATACACTACTTGAAAATTTAAGGGAATTGTTTACATCTTAAAGAAAAATATTCTTTACATGTTAAAAGGAAAATTATTCATAAGTTTTTTTTTTTTTTTTTTATAATTTCAATTTGCATATTACGTTAATTTTTATGAAGTTATTTCATGCACAATGCTTCCCTTGTACATTTTCCTTTACCTGATTATGATCGTATTTAAAATGTAAAAATTTTCTTTAAATCATATGTTTGTAAAATATCACAAACATATATTTTTTCTGATCATTTTTAACAAAATTATAAAAATTATAGTAAAAATTTTAATACTATTTACTTATATTTTATTGCATGTCTTGCTATTTCTATGACTATATCGTTCTGTCGGATTGTTTATTTTTATTTTTTATTTTTCAATTTCATTATCATTTTATTTTACAAAAGCTTTTATGATATAATTTTAACTTAACAAACCCTGAGAATCATTAATCTGTTGTTAGATTTATGTCCAAAAGAACTATGAAAGATAACAGATGTTGAGAATTTATTATGTAGGTACGTGCAACTTTGCGTATGTGTTGTTAGTAGATTATAAGCAATATAAATCGAAATGTGTCGGGAAAAAAAGTCTGTTTGTACAAAGTGCGTTTTTGGGTTTGATTTTGTAACATAAAACAACATTTGCACAAATAAATTAGCTTATTTAAAGTCAATCCTTTGAACCATTAAGAATTCATGTCAGTACGAGGAAATCCGATCATTAGAACAAAAGCTATTCAAGTTTTCTGTTTTCTATTCTTTCGTACACACAGAGAGAAAAAAAGTATAATAAGAACTACCTGAATATGGTAAAATTTATCGTGTTTCTGGCTCCATGAGAACAAAAAGTTTTGTAATTTTTACCAAAGCGTTTTGGTAATGATTTTGGTAAAATGAACAATAAAATACGGTTCTATAATCTGTTATAAAATTTGGTAAATGTGATAAAATTTGGCAATTTTATCATGATACCTTATCCATTAAACCATTTATTCGGTTAAATGTAATTCCTTTTTGGTACTTTTTACTAAATGTGTGGTAATAAGAGCTATAATTTTGAAAACCAGAGTTTCCGGTAAAACCGTTACCATATGAACGGAATAATTTACCAAATGGATGGCTTAAATACCATAAATTTTTGTTTTATTTACCAAAATTACGTTTTTTTTCCAGAAAAGTCATTATTATAACAGCATGATAATTTTACCAGAATTTTTTTCTTTGAGTACATACGGATGCTGATGTAATATCTTCAGCACTTGGCTTTTATTTTTCTCAAGCATTATTTGAAGAAGCATAGTTCATATTATTTACAGTTATCTATTTTTTTTTGCACATTAATTGTAAGAAATACACAAGAACATGCTTTGCTACAAATATCATAAGGTTGAACTCATTAATATAAATTTTACATTCAAATTCTGGGAATATTTCATAGCTATAACTTGATTTTCTTTGTGCAATTAAATTTTATTGTACTTAGATGACATTCTATAAAAGCTTTTTATTTTGTTTCTGTAAGCATATTGCTGTTTCTGATTTTTGATCCCCATCCTGTTTGTTTCCTTTTCTTTCCTTTCGTTTTTTTCTTCTTTTTTTTTTGTTATATCCTTGCAGATTTCTATAGCTCTTAACTTAATTTACTATATTATCTTCACTAGAAAATATTCCATTTTTAAATCCTTTTTTATTATTTTGTTTGTGTAAGCCTGTTTAAAAGTTTTTCTTTCTTTCTCATAATGTTTTGTCTATTGTACTCATTTTCATTATAACGATTTCACGGGATTTTTGTTTGTTAATTAAAGATAATTTATCTTCCCTAGAAGGCATCAAATTTACACACTTTTACTATAATATTATTCCTGTTTTAAATTATTCGTTATTTGATAACGAGTTCACTTTCTGTTTATGATTTCATAGCTTTTGTGATTATTAACTTACTATGTCAGCCATTCATATGTATAAGATAAAATCTCTTTCGGTTCAAAACTTCTCTGCTTTCTATATATCAGATAATTTATTCGTGGATAATTAATAATTAATGGGTAATTTAATAATAATAAATTCGTGGCTTTTTGATTGAGAAAAAAAAACACAAACACACTCAAACATAAAATAACTATTAATGTTTCTAATAATGTGGATAGGTTTTTAAAGCATCGTAAGCGACTAACAATTGCGTCTTTTTTTTTTCTTTCTTAATTCTTATGCAACTAACAAAGACCTTATAAACGACAAACAAAAATTTATTAATCTTATCATAAATGCGAAGTAGTAGATAACTTCTTTGTTTATTCTGAAAATAGCTGAGGTTTATTAGAGTTGTTAATTTCTGATTTGATATCTTATATTTAAGCTTTAAAGTTAAATTTAAAAATATTAAAGCTGGTAGGTTAAACCTCTGATAGGGTTAAATATTTTAAGTTTCCCCTAAAATTGTTGCACCTCAAAGGATAACACCGAAAATTTTCCCTTTGCATTCATATTTTTCTCTGTTTTATAACCGGTGTTTAATAGCCGATCCGTATTTGGGTATATGCCAATCAGTGTTTAACTCCATTGCCTTGTAATTGAGAATCCAACTCAGAAGACCAAAGAACTCCTGGAAGAAGCATTGGAACTAACTACTTTCTGCGGAGGACTCTATGATAGAATTAACCAGCATTACGTTATATTGAGACGAAAGCCATGAAAAATCGGTTCGGTTAGCCAGACGGCAAGGAGATTCTAACCCATTATTTGTCGACCCTTGAGGTTATTTTACGTTAGTACTGTGGTTGGTGCTAGTTGAGAGCAGAATTCGTATCGTCTAGCTCCGCTGAGATTCGAACCCGGGCCACTTAATTTGGAGATGAGAGCAACCACCACTCGTATTCATATTTAAACCGATTCACCGTTGCACCCGATTTTATTTTATTTTATAGCCGTCGTTGAACAGCCGACCGAATTTTTGGGTTTACGACTACTAATGTTCAATTCCGGAGCCTTGTAATTTTGAACCCAATTCAGAAGACAAGGGAACTCCTGGATCAAGTATTGGGAAAAATTTTGCCTTCGTGGATGACTTTTTGATGGAGCTAACCCGCATTTGCTTTACATGGAGAGAAAGACCACGAGGACCTCCCACGGTAAGCCTGACGGCAAAAGGGACTCTAACCCATGATACGTCTACCACTGAGGATATTTCACGTCAGCACTGTGGTTGATGCAAGCCGGATGTGGATTCGTATCGACCAGCCATCTCTGGGATTCGAATCCGATTTAACTCATTGGAAGGCGAACGCTCCATCCCCTGAGCCATCACGGCTCTTTGCACCCTATTTTCTAAAATTAACTAACCCTTTTGATTAATTTATAATAATTAAAATTGGTCCCCCTTCAAAAGAAGAAACTAATGTTTAAGAGCACCTCCTATTCTTTTTTTCCAGATTATGACCTGGCTGGATCCATTTACACAGTTACAAATTTCTAGGAAAAAATGGTTAAATAATAATTTATTTAATTACTTCTTTATACAATATTCAAAGAAAATAGCCGAATAACCTTAAATAAGATGGTATTCAAATTGTCATCGGCGAAAAAAAGCCGGTTATTAACTACTTTCACTTCATACTGTTAAACAACCAGAATTGTATCGCACCAATTAGGCATAACTAATGATGCCACATAGCTCCTTGCAACTGTGTACATATAATATCCGTGAGGGCTAATCTGTTAATCTCGTAACCAACAGAACTTGGGTTCGAGTCCCAGCGTCGACACCACGATATTTCCTATATTCCCTTCAGCATCCAGGGGCCTGCACTTTTTCATTTGTGTCCTGTACTCTCCAGTGCCATTACCTAACATAAGGCTTAACTCCTATGCCCTGGTAAAATCTTTTTTTTTTTTGTGGTTTTGAAATCATGCTAATTGTAAATGATTTAAAAACCGTATAATTTAGTATTCATGGTTATATAACCATACTAATTGTAAACGGTTTCAAAACCGTAAAGGTAAAAAATGTTCTTTACCGTTAACTTAACGGTTAATCTGATAAACAGAATGCTGTCGGTTATTTTACCATAATTTTAGAATGAAAATTCAAACAGTGCATAACGCTTTCGGTGGAGAAATTTCCGGTCGTGGTGCATTTGCTTCTTTTTTTATCATATGTGGTCGAACTAGTTCGGTTACTAAAGCTGTATCAGTTTAAGAACAAAGCAGTGCAGTAAACTGAGCAGTTTTGAAATCAAATGTCGTTGGGGGAAAAATACTAATATCCCATGCCTGAAGAAATTCAATTCTAGAAGTTTCAGAATTCTTACTTTGACAGTTTCCGTCGTAAAACGTTACATCATCCAAAGCAAATCCTCCATCCGTGGCTTCTCCTTCAAATTCAACCTATAAATAACAAATGAATAACAAAAATAACATTATTTTTTGAAGTCATGTTTCTTTAAACGAAGTATAATGTTCTTTATTGTTGTACGTACGAGATTTCTGATGTAAATAGGCGTCCCTAATTTATCTTTTGTTCGAAAATCTATTGGGAAAAAGAAATAAAATTTTATGAAAAAAATTTTTTTTAGCCTCATTGTGTGCACTAAAAATTATGGTTACATCAAACTCATGGAAACGGTCCAAAAGTAAGTAAATAGGTTGTTTTTAAAGTTAAAATTAAGAGACGTGAGTAAGAGATTGATGAGATTTAACGGGCCAGTGAAAACACTATTTGGAAACACTTAAAGGCGACATCCTACTCCACTCGCTGTATTCTCCAGAATCAGCTTCTTCAACAAGAACAAAATATATTGAGTACAGGCTACCAATATTTGTTAAAGCTGTAAAAAACAAGAAAATAGAAAGTGGGTCCGGAGGTCGAAGCGAGTATACAAAACGTTAATTTGATTGATTGGTATCATAATTAGTTCGATAAGCGTCAGATATTAGAGGAACCTAAAAGAAAGCGAAGTAAAATAATGGTCCAATGATCGGAGCGAGTATTAAAATTTTTTAAATTTTGATATGTGATACTAAGCTAAAAATTAAACAGACTACTAAAACAATAAAATACTATGAAAACTCAAAAGATAAAGAGTGGGGCCGGTGGTCGAAGCGGAATTAGATTAAAATAGACCAAACGGGACAAAAGCCGAACATGTAACGGTGCAACCAGTGGTGGCATGTGAACAAAATTTTATCTATAAAAAAGATGGTATTAGACTATGAAAAGCTAAGAATGGAAAACAGGCTAAATTAGTTGATCCCCTACTAGTGAGGGATATAAAACTCAGAAAATTTATGTTGAGTTGTGTTAAGCATAGTTAGAAAAGAGAACGCAATATAGAAACATTGGAAAATACAAGCATGTTTAAGACATGATTAAAATTGGTAAAATTAATAATTGCTATTTACAATTGGTCAGGGATAGTAAATAAAAATTAATTAGGTATGGGGCATCGCTATGACGAAAAAGTTGTAAACTTAAGGAAAGATTAAATTGTTAAAAGCATTTTTGGTAACAGCAACAGATGATTTGGCCAGGGACTGTCCCGTTGATGATATTGAAGCAAAATAATTGTCAACCAGTAATCCAGAAAATCTAGTTAAGTGATGACCCTAAGCTTTGTATAAATATGTAACAGAACATTGTACAAATATATGTGGATACTTAGGAAATATTAGTTGTAATATAGTAAAACACAGAGACATGATAAAAAACAATTTAATGGCAAGTAAAAATTAAACACAAAATAAAAATATAAAGCCCTAACGTATGTAAGATAATGTAAAAAAACATTACAAGAACCTAAGTGGAATTAAAATCAAAAACTAATGAGAATGTAAACACTGACTTTGATATTGATATATGATAGCAATAAAATGAAATTATCACCGAACAAGTTAAAAGAATTAAAATTTTTAATTATTAAAGAAATGATGACCTGGCTTGATCATAAGCACTTAACTGCGTTTTTCATCATGAAGATTGTCTACAAATTGCCATGGGGAATAGAACACCATTAATAATGGAAAAGTGTTGTGACTTAAAAAATTTATATAAAATCAGAGGGAGGGGATAAAATAAAAAGAAAGATGCCGTTTAATCAGAAACAGTTGGGAGAAAGAAATATTAAAATTTTAAATAAAAATATAAACAGCAATATATTAATTAAAGGGCACAAAGTCAGCGGTAACAAATAGCAAAATTTATCATAGCGAAAACCTATACCCAATCGCGACATATTTTAAAAAGATACAGATAATAAAAGCACCAGACCACCGAAAATTAAAAACTTAATAAATTCAGATCGATAATCGCATAGGCATTTGCAATAAAATGTTTTTGACCAAGAATGAGATCGAAAAAATATTAAAATAAGTAGCCAAAGTTAGCGAAAGATTCCACTTGTAGTGGATGACACGTTAATATGGCGGTCTGATACTCTAAGCCTAAATCAATGGAACATCGGATTTCAAACACTCAAAAATGGAAAAATTGGCCACCCGGAGGCCGGAAAAGACTCACCAGGAATGCCTTGTGGGTTTACATGTTGAATTTAATTAACTTCGGGGTGAAATAATGGATATTTATTTCTTTTAGAAGATGTTTTTGAGGACTCCATAGAAGTTGTTGTTTCGTTGGTGGGGATCTAGATCAGCTTTTCTCTATGGTATACTGCCATACAAATCGTTATGGTTACCATTGGCCTATGGTATACTGCCATACGAATTTCTATGGTTGCCATAGGCCAATGGTGATGTGCCATACAAATCCTTATGATTACCATTGGTCTATGGTATACTGCCATACAAATCTCTATGGTTACCATTGGCCTATGGTATCTTGCCATACAAATTTCTATGGTAGCCATAGGCTTTTGAGGTTTTGCCATACAAATCTCTATGGTAACCATAGGCGTATGGTATCTTGCCGTATAAATTTCTATGGTAGCCATAGGCTTATGGGGTTGTGCCATACAAATCTCTATGGTAGCCATAGGCGTATGGTATCTTGCCATATAAATTTCTATGGTAGCCATAAGCTTATGGGGTTGTGCCATACAAATCTCTCTGGTAACCATAGGCGTATGGTATCTTGCCATACAAATTTCTATGGTAGCCATAGGTTGCCATAGATTACCATAGGCTTCTCTATGGCAAATTTTCCTAAAGGATAATATTATTTTTTGTGGATATAGTGAACAGAAAGAAAAGAGGAAATTGGGTTTTTTACGAACTTTTTCTGTCTTCGACTGATTTTTTTCCTCATTTTTTGGTAATTTTGAAATTTCTACATAAAATACATATACCGATTTTTAAAACCATCGATTGAGTGGAATATAGCCATAAGCATTTTTTCTTGTCTGCTTCTTCTGTCTCAGTTTTTTTTATCCCTAAATGAAGGCCATCCCTAAATTTTTTGAACGCAAAACGAAGAGTAATAAAAAATAAAAGTTAAGACATTTTTTGTTACTACATACTGTTTTTTAACCATTTTTGCATTTCGTTTTATTAGTCATTTATTTAAAAAGCTTGTAATAAAATGAAACTGTTCGGGAAAATTAGTTTAGATTGTTTGCAGTATTGATATAGTGAACTCCCGGTTATAGTGAACCGAAATTTCAGTCCCTTGAAGGTTCACTATAGTGGGGGTTGATCGTATAAAAATGGGAACATTCATTCCCGATTCTGTTTTATGCTGTCATCTATATCTCAATTGAATGGATGGAATTGAATGAATTAATTTGTTCAATTGAATAAATTCAAATAATTGAATAAAGCCAAATCTTTTTTCTTAAGCTGCCAAATAATCCAGAAATGAACTCAAGAGCCAGTATTTAACAAAAGGTGCTCTTAAAACTACTCTATCACAGGAATGTTGCTTATTTGATCATTCATTAACGCATAAACCCTCGAATTCAAAACATTATAAAGAATTAAAATTACTCACCCTGAATGCTGTTAGTGTCGCCACAGATACTTGACCGTACATCCAGTCTGGTCGAGAAGTGTCAAACTTCTTGGTGGCCATTTTCCATATAAGAAGTCGTTGCTCCTTTTCTCCTTCAGGTGGTGCAAGTTCGACTCGCATGATACTTAAAGCTGTTGCTTCTCCACGGCCGAATGGAGCAAACCAGAAGCTCAAACAAAGAGCATCATTTTGACTTGCTGCGAAATCTGGGCTTCTTAATACTGGATTTTGGGCGGATGCTTGATTGAAGATGTCAAAAAATACGTATCCAGCTATAATTTTTTAAAAAAAAAGTGATGATTTTAGAGAAAAGTATTTTAAATATAAAAAAATGATTGTTTTAAAACATTTTTAATTAATTTAATGAAAAAAATATTTTTACTCGTTTTTGACGTTTTTAAAACCAAGCTTATTTTGCTTTCAAATTAACCATTTTTTCAAAATTCAACATTTTTTAATTTGTTTCATTAAATACAAAAAAATTTTATGATTAAAATTTAATTGTCATCTTTTAATTAACTGACGTGTTTGAACTGACTGTATGAAAATGAACTAGTACGTACAATACTACGTGGTGATGGACTTTGACCTAGATTCGGTACTTTTTGAGTGAAAGTGCTTTAAGCTCTGGCACTATTATAAAACCACTCTGTAAAATGAATTTTCTATTGTATATTCTGATCCCTGGATCTCTTTAGTTCAGATTGCTTATTTCCATTTCTTTCTAGCATATTTTTAGAGTGCTTTATTTAATTAAATTATTGTTTTATTACAATTGTTGAATCCCAATTTTATTATGCAATTAAAATTTAACTAGAAAAATAATTTCAAGAAGGTTATTTAGGAGCCTCGAAGGCTCAGGGGATAGAACGTTAGCCTTCCAATGAGCGAAACGGATTCGAATCCCAGTCGATACGAATTCCGCATCCGGCTTGCACCGACCACAGTGCTGACGTGAAATATCTTTAGTGGTAGACGGATCATGGGTTAGGGTCCCCTTGCCATCAGGCTAACCGTAGGAGGTTCTCGTGGTCTACCTCCCCATGCACCGCAAATGCGGGTTAGCACCATCAAGAAGTCCTCCACGAAGACAAATTTCTCCCAATACTTGATCCAGGAGTTTCCTTGTCTTCTGGATTGAGTTCAAAATTACAAAGCTCCGGGGTTGAACATTAGTAGTCGCAAAACCCATAAAATTGTGTCGGCTGTTCAACGACGGTTATGAATAAAAGAAAGAAGGTTATTTAAGCATATTTACTTGGAGCTCTAAAGGTATGGTCTTGTAGATTGGCTGGTCTGCTTATGATTGATGCCAAGCGCCAAGTGAGACCTTCTTGAGATTGCAAATCATGTCGATTGAACTTCGAAGTCGCTCGATGTGAACCAAGTTCTTGCAAAGGTGGAGGTGATTCCGTATTGTTCTTCCAGTCACACATATTTCTATCAAATGAGCATTCCCCTAATAGAAAAGTAAATTTAATGATTCACCCAGTGAATTAAATATTATACACGCAACACAATCTCACATAACTTGAAGAACTGAACATATAGGGAAGTTATTTTGTCGAGTTGCTGGCATTTAAATAAACTTATAAATTGCATTTACCTTAATTCCCCTCTGAAATTGATTATATATATACATTACAACTGTAAGTTTCCGATTGTTTAAGTAGGTATTTGGAAATATTTGTATGTCATGCACTTGATTTCTCGAATTACACATATAATGTTTGAAAGGGCAGGAGTAGGTTGAATATAAATGTCCTGGTATAGCTGTGACGTCAAGGATTTATAAAAACGCATTAAAGATTAATGAAATTTGGATTTTGAGTAATCATATAATAGCAGTCATGAGGAATATTGACAGAGAGGCAATAAGAAATATTTTGGACGAAAGTTATACATATAATCATAAAAGTTTGCTGCAAATTGGAACTAAAAAACTTATCAAACAAACAAAAAATGAAATCAGAAAAACATCCATGTCATAGAGCGAGTCATGGTAGATAGCTTTCTTCGAACAGATTCTCCTACATTATTGATCAGTTTTTGCCCTGTGTGAGTTATCAAAGTAAAAAAACTTATGGAAAGGAACATATTTTCAGGTTGTAGAAGAGTTCAAGGGGGAAAAACAGGACTTTCTGGAGAGAATGATGCTTGATGACCCGCAGCCTTATTTTTAGAAAATAGGAAATAAATATGTAACTGTGTATAGATAGGTCAGATGTGTTTTTTGAGCTTACACTATAACATATTTTTGGGACCAGGCTCCTTTTTTACACTATTCTACTTTGTATTTAAATAAAGATCTCTTTTTTATGTAAGAGGGTTGGAACTTTAATAGTAGCAGCTATTTATTTAAGGCTAATTCAAAAGATATATATGCTACCAAATTTTATTGTTCTTTAATGCAGTCCCCAGCTCGTGTACACTACCAGCTCGTTGCCAGTGATACCTTTGGCAGTGCCTATTCAGTTGATAATTGGAGTAGAACGGTCTTAAGACTATAGAGTCTGTAGAATAGTTCTGAGAAGAATGTTAGAAGTGGATCTTCATCGTAGAAATCAAGTCAAAATCACAAGAGCTTAAATCCGGGATGTATTGTTTATGATATAGCTTTTCCCTGACCCATCTATCAAACAGAACAGCCACAAGTTGCGATGTATACGCCCGAACTGCAAAATGACGATTGCTTATGCAGAAAGTGTCTCCTCCTCTTTATCAAAACCGGACTCAGTTTGTATTTAAAAAATAAATGAAAAACTATCAACTGTTCTTTAATGTTCTGCATTGTTCTTTAAAGACTGTTCTTTAATTTAGTCGCCAGCACGTGTACCACTCGTTGCCAGTGATACCTTTGGCAGTGTCTATTCAGTTGATAATTGGAGTAAAACAGTCTAAATTGCATTTGATTTGTTACAACACTGCATTACTACGCCGCAATACTTTTTCGAACCGCCATCTAGGGCGAAGAGTCTAAAGGAGGATAAAGTATGTATGTAATTGTAGTATAAACAAGATATGTGTAGTATAAGCAAGAATTTTCTGTTCCGTTGCATGACATAACGACAGCAGTCATGCCATCATTTAAGTTCTCATACTCCCATTTTAATTTGGTAGTAGAATTACATATTTACCACATAGCATTTTTCATAGAAAGTTAATAATAGTTTTCCTCACAGTAATTATGAGATAGTACATAATCTTTATGAAAAGAAACTTTATCTATCTCTATACTAAATGGCGGTTTTATTATGTATATATGTATAAAGTTTGTTTGTTGACTTATTCCTCTTGGTCAGCCGCAGGCTAGACCAAGTCAATGAGCTCGAAAGTCTTCAAGAAATCAAATACAAGTAAGAGACCAGAGTAGAGGTTTTTCTTTTCCAGACCAAGACAGTGTAAAATGCGATCGGGAGAAGCCTGTGCAGAGTTACACCTCATGCACGTTGAATAGGTCTTTCGCCCAAGCTCAAAAGAGAGACACCTGATGTGTCCACTTATGAGCCTACTTATAGTGGACTGTATGGCTCTATCAGCCCCTATGGTAAGTGCCCCACCAGGAGTCTGTCCATTATACCAAGAGTGGGCCGGAGGGATGCTCCATAGTTGTTGGTTAGTGGTTCTGATCTTGGAGCAAATCTCAGGGAAGGTCAAAGGTTGACTTGAAATTGTGCTATCAGAAGCTCCCTGCTTGGCCAAAAGATCAGCATTTTCATTACCAAAGAGGCCTATGTGAGAGGGAATCCATTGAATGAAGATTTTACGCCGATGAGAGAGTTGTTTAATTTTATTAAGTATAGAGACATATGTCTTGTCGCCAGCCTTATTCCAGTTACTTAAGTGCTGTATGGCACTACGACTATCGGATAAGATACAGATATTAGCGAATGATGTTATAGACCCAATAGCGTTGAGTGTCTCTTCGATGGCAATTAGCTCAGATCTAAAAACAGAGCAGAAGTCTGGATTCTTAATCGTAAGTTTTCTAGAAAAGTTAGGAGCCTTAATGAAAATTCCGCTACCACAAGAATCGCTGTCGTCTTTGCTGCCATCAGTATAGATGAGAATATCTGTGGCTGGTATTTGGTTAATTATTTCAAGAGCAAGTTGGCGTAAGTAATCAGGCAAATCTTCCTTTTTGTTAGTATGAGCTCCAAGATCAGGCTGGAAATGTACCCCAGGAAAGCCCTCCATGGGATAAAAGATTTTTCTCACGGAGTGACTCTCAACATTCATATTTAGTAAATCCATCAGGTGAAAACGAGAAAAAGGGCTGTCTCTTTTCAATCTTTGTTTGTTTGTCCAATTACGGAAATAATTTGCAGTGCGGTTAAAAACACCAAAACTGTAAAGTTTGTTAAAATACCTTGCCAGTAACTCATTCCTTCTTAGCTTTAAAGGCTGGATATCGCATTCATATAAAACCAAGTCTGTGGGGGCAACTATGCCTCATGCCAGTAATAATGCGAGCATCACTAGATTGCACTCTCTCAAGTTTTGCTAAGTTAGTGGCTGACGCACAGAAGTAAATCTGATAGCCATATTCCAGAATAGGTCTTATCAAGGAGGTATAAGTTGATCTAAGGATATAGGCATTTGCACCCCAATCCCTTCCAGCTATATATTTCAAAAGGTCTAGTCTCTTTCTGGATTTATTAACCACATGATCTATATGTCTATTTCTCAGGATCTCTGGATCTAAAGAGAGTCCCAGATATTTTGGGTGTTTTTCATGGAGCAGTGATTGGCCATTCATAGTGATGTTTGGCTGATAGTTATATAGACGCCGGTTAGTCGTGAAGAAGCTTGTAATTGATTTAGACAAATTAAAACTCAGTTTATGATTCTCAGCAAAACTCTGGACTTCAGAGAGGGTGTCATTAACATCAGATTCCAATTGGTCAACATCGGAGTCGGACTTCCAGAGAATAATGTCATCGGCATAAAGACCAACCTCGCACCTCCTGGACACAACCTCCTCGATGCCGGCGATAAGCAAGGCAAAGAGAAGAGGGCTCAACACTGAGCCTTGAGGGACTCCCTGACTCAACCTTAAAGATCCAGAAATAGAATCGCTAAATTTCACTCTGATCTCTCGATCCCTCATGAAGTCATGATTCCAGGAAATAATGCCAAAAGTGTTGAAGAGCTTAATTATTCAACCATTTCTCCAAACTCTGTCAAAAGCCATTGTCAGGTCCAGAAAAACAGCAATGGTATGATGTGAAGGTTTAAGATTCTGAGAGTCACGAACTCTCTGTCCAAAGTATAAGATTTGATCCACAGTGGAGTGTCCCCCTTTAAAACCATATTGTTCAGCTGGGAACAAGTTATTAGAATCGAGATAAAAAGTAAGTCTCTCCAAAATAAGTTTTTCCATAAGTTTGCAAGAAAAATTTGTCAAAGCGATGGGTCTGTAACTTTCTGCAGAACTGGTTTTCTTGTTTGGTTTCCTGATAGGTATAATCAGGGCTTTTTTCCAATCGCGAGGAAGTCTTCCAAGTTTCCAAGACAGGTTGAATATCTCTAGCAGGCTCTGCTTACCCCTATTGCTATGTCTGGAGATCATCAGGCCATGGATGTTATCTGGACCGGGAGATTTATTTGGATCTACAGTGCCCAAAGCATAATCAAGTTCTTTCATTGTAAAATCGTCACTAAAAATGGGGTTGCCTCTTTCAGAGCTGCGGCATCCGTGCACAATTTTCTTTGCACAAATTTCTTTATCTTTATCCATTGGTGTAAAATTTAGTTTACTTATCTTCTGATAGTGAGAACCCAGATAATTGGCTGCAGCTTTGTTGTCCGATATGGCCAGTCCATTTTCGCCTAAAATGACATTGCAGTCCTCCTGTTGTGGCTGCGTAGTGCTTAAGGATTTTATAAGTTTCCAAAGTTTGGTATTTGGGGTGTGAGCGTCTAAAGTTTTGCATAGTTCTTCATGTATAAAGTAATTTACAGTAATACAATTTGACCCATTTTGAAATTAACAATTTTGTTACATACATGGTCATAATAAATACACAGATGAATTTAGAGCCCTCTGTAAAATTCTCTCTCATATGCAAAAATATAAAACCACACAAACAAAATATAAATGTTAAAAAAATTGTTTTAAATTGTTTTACGTTATGCAGGAAAATATTTAAAATTAAAATATGTTTAATTAGTTTTTAACTCAATGATTGTCTTTAATCGAATACTGGCATTAATTTTATTTCAAATTGAAGCAGCCAAAATTTATTTAAGTACTTAACCAGGGTTTACATAAAATTGTAAAAAAAGAGAAAAAGAAAAATATCAAGCAATTTTTCAAAAAATGTTTTAAAAAAATTATGCTTACCTATCACAGCAGTTGCTTTCAAAGGATGCGCTGAAATGGAAGAAAATAACCATATGTCAAGTTTTAGTTAAACTTCTCAAATGAAGAAATTTTTATAAAGAATTTTTTAACAAAATGAGGCTTTACATGAGCAATCTCCATCAAAAAAGCTGATATCATCGATGGCAATCACACCAACTCTTCCGTCACCCCATATTCCTTCAATAATTATCTAAATTTGATGAAAACAGGAAAATAAGTCATTTTACTAATTACTAATTCGAATATTTTTAATACTTTGTTGCATATCTAAGGGTCTTTATATTGTAGTATATATTTTCATCGAATATATAATCAATTTATCGATTGATGGGTTTAAAATACAAGTGAACTTATACACAGAATTAAATTAACCTGCTATACTTAAAAAAGAAAAGTACAAATTATAGTATAAGTACTATCTATCTCGTTTTGAAATACATTGTGGATTAAAAATTCAGAAAAAATGCTTGGAATGAAAAGCAAGCAAACTAAGAATGATTTAAACTATACCATTAATAAATAATTTAACAAATGTGTATTTTTCAGACTGCCTCTACAACTAATTTAAAGATTTTAGATAGAGTCCAACTCAGTGCAGTAAGAATTGTCACAGAGTTGAGGAACAGCTACCCAAGTGAAATGGTTCTTTAAGGGGTTGACATTTTACCTTTGACTATGAGATTTAAGATAAACTCTTTTCGATACTTTAATAAATTGATTAGCCTTGGTGATCTTAATAGTACTTTCTAACTATGTTTTATATTGGACAAGCAACCAGCGTTCAAAGAGAAACACACCACTTGAGTATGTGGTTTTATGAATTTTAAAATTGTTCCAATGGTGACTTTTAGTTGTTTGCCTCTTACGGTATCATTTGAGAATATCAGTTTCAATGAGGATTTGAAATCCCGTGCTAGCAAACAGGAGGATCATCCTGAACTTCTAAAACAGTTGGTCTTAGAGGTCATTAATAATATCCATTCTGAGGCCTTGGCTATCTACACGGATGGCAGCAAATTTGAAGACGGAAGAGCTGGGAGTGGTGTTTTCACCAGCAACACCGAAGAGGAAACTAAATTTAGTATCCGTAACCCTGACTTTTGCTCAGTTTTTAGGTCAGAAATTATTGCTATTGGGAGGGCTCTTGAGTTTGCCCTTATTACTGATTATAGTTGTATTTAGATTTTGACTGACAATAAAAGTGCCATCCAATACCAAATAAATTGACTGAAAATATATGATAAACCTGATCAGGATTTTCTTGTACCTCTCTCTGAGCTGGGCCGGAGGAAATCAGTATACCTTCAGTGGCACGTTGGGGTGTAAGGTAATGAGATTGCAGATACTCTTGCCAGAAATGGGTGTAATTTTCCGATTGCCAACTTTGTTCAGCTAATTCTTTCGGAAATCCACTTGCTCCACAAAAGTAATTTACTTTCAAGTTGGCGCCTTCCACCAGTTTATAACTGGTACGCTGCAATTAGTCCGGGCGTGTCTCTGTTATGCAGCTGCCTCTACAACTCTCAGAAGTGGTCACTTGAAATGCATAAAATTTCAGAATGCGAAAACGATTTTTTCTCCTGTTCCTTTCCCGCTAGTCCTGCTCACCTTCTTAATTTTTTAGGAGCCTCCTAGAGGCAGCTGATGGTTTAGTAGGAGATTTTCGATGTTCCCAGGCGACGGGGTCTCTTGGACCTTGTGTGGGCTTTCCTACACCAGGGGGATGCGTAACAACAACACAAATGTGTTTTTTGGCTGAATCATTCATTATCTCTAATGTAATTTATTTTATTTGGTGACGAAAATTGAATTTTATTAAATTTTGCCAGCCCATTTTCATATTTCAAGAGCTTTTCTATTCATTTAGAACTTCACTGAATTGACGAAGCACCAGACCTTTTTATCTGCCTTGGTTCGACACCAGGACATCAAAAAAGGATGTTGGATTGAAACTATTTTATGTTACAAATAAATTATGTATAGATAAATTACCTATAGATAAATTATATATAAATAATGTATAAATAAATTCTATGTAAAGTTAAAACGTCAATAAAGCAAGGTACCGATGGTCAAAACCTGAATAATCGAATCAGTTGCGAAATCGATTAAAATTTCTTTCACACATTACGAGTGATACTAANTAAATAAATTATGTATAAATAAATTATATGTAAAGTTAAAACGTCAATAAAGCAAGGTACCGATGGTCAAAACCTGAATAATCGAATCAGTTGCGAAATCGATTAAAATTTCTTTCACACATTACGAGTGATACTAATAAATAACAAATAACGTTAGAAAGTTATTTGTTATAAAATACTTTAGATGCAATAATAAGGACTAAGATTTAATGCGACTAAGATTTAATAAAGTTATATTGTTTTTATTAGTTTTGAAACTTTAAAGAGCTTATACGATTCTTAAATAATGAGCTTAAATGCAAAATTTAAATTAATTATAGTCATAGACCGAAGTCATCACTTTGTTCACTCTACAACTGAGCAAAGCGAATAAATACACAAAGTTGACAGTTTAAGATACTCTGAGATCCATTTATTTCCAAGAAGGATGATGCTCTGTCTCATACAAGTAATGTGACAAAAAGTGATTTTCCAACAACATGAAATCTCCGAAATGCTATTAAAATAGCATTTTTCAGCATGAACGCCACCAAGCCAAGCTCGCCTACCATTGGCCTTTTGAGAATTAAGTCAGGAAGGTCGGCCTTTCGTTTGACAAGAGAGCATCGCAAGGGTGAAAGTACGTCTTAACTCAGAACCCCACCGAAAGATAGCAATACCACTCATTCGTAAGGCCATTTTCTCAATTTAGACACATATCTGAAGGGGAAGAAAATTTCTCCACATACCTGTACGGCTTAGTGACCAACCATTGGATTTTACGAGCACGTATATCGCATATAATTAGAGGAGTTGAGGATCAAACCCCGGCCCCACACGTCGGAGTCCGATTCTCTCTAACCACGGGCTGCACTCACGGAAATGCTCACGATTTCGGCACAGCTTGGCATTCTTGGCGAAAACTTTTAAGTCAAACCTGCTCTGTCGCCAAATTGTTTGCTTTTGCGTAGCATTTGTAAACAAGGGATAGAATTGTTTTCACTAATTTGTTGCAATTGTTTTCATTGTTTTGTGTTTTCATAAGATCATGTAACACAAATATTAAAACGCAAAATTCTCTTTGCAATACTTAGTGATAATTTTAATTAAATCTTTCAAATTTAGTTTTAATCTGAACTTCTAAACTGGAATTTAATTTTAAAATTTTATGTCTGTGAAGAGCATTGACCTGAGGTCGTATTCTGATGCATTGATTGTATTGATTTGTTTGGAGTTTTCTCAGAAGTGTTTTTTATTTTCAATTTCTTAGTAAAAATAAATAAATAAATAAATGCAATGGAAACTAGTGTTATACTTGCGAACAACTTTTTTTTCGAGTTTAAGTGTTGTTAATTATGATGAAAGTTGACATTGTTGACAATGTAATTTTCTCGATAAATCAACTATAGATATTTTCTAAGATGCAAGCAATCATGATGGATAAAACAAATCAGTTAGGCTAAAAATAGCATAAATGCTAAAGAACAAATAAAAGCAAAAGTTCTCTTAGAGCCCTAAAATATAAAATATATTTTACTTTTATGTATACTAAAGTGCAGGTTGGTATAATCAAACTGAAAAAATAGAGAAACTCTTATGTCAAGGCACTGTAACTAATTTTATAATACATGCTTATTTAAGTTTTTAAAACTATATACAAAAGCATCTGAAATATATTTCATATTAACAAAATAGTTCACTGTTGCCTTCTAAGGATAAATTATTTTAAATGTATAATTTGCTTTAGTAGATCCATTTCCTAAAATTTTCCCCAATTAATCATTATTTGTCCAAAAATATAAATTTTTTCTATGAGGATTTTCTTATTATTTATTTTGAATCTACCATTCCTTTTCTTTTTCTTATATTATTATATAATATCTTATTTAGTAATGTTATAAGAAATGGCACTCTTTTCTTAGTCGTATAATTATAAAATAAAACTTGGTTCTTGTACTTTATCACTTTTGAAATAGCATTTGAATAAAATAATGTTAAAGTAAATTTGATCGGATTAAAATTAAATAAAACTTTTTTTTCTGAATTTTTATAACTTTTGAAACGGCAAAATATTGAAGTAGTTTCATTAAAATCTTCATCTTATTGAAAATGAATAAAATAATAAGGTTAAAGTAAAGTGCTGCATATGATAATGAAATATATATAAATAATTTTTTAAAACTTTTATAACTTTTGAAACTACAAACAAATGAAAAAAAATGGTAAGATTAAAGTAAAGCACTTTAAATGTATTAATTGCTTTCTCAGGTCTATTTTTTCAGACCTATCTTAATTTATTATTTGCGTAAAAGTATCGATTCCTTTGTGAATAATTTCTTATATATATTTCCACATTGAAAATTATCACCTTTTTCTGATTAAATGTTTAATTTGATGAAAAACGATTTAAGAAAATCTCCAGATCTGAAAAAGCAAACAAGTGAGGCAATTTTTTTTTTAAATGCATGAAGTGCTTCCTTAACTCATCTCTCAAATCTATTATAGTTCATTATTAGCGTAACAATATGTATTTCATTGCGAAGAATTTTTATTATGCATGTGGAATAAAAGAATTAATTTTATTTCCTAATTTCGCATCGGAAATGCTGAATTTAGCGATAAAAGCAATAAGCAATTTTTGCAATGTATTGCAATAAAAAAAATACCTTATATAAAATTTCCTTATATATGTAACATAGTAAAGAATGGTAAACTGTCTTAGGAAATAGATTAAAAAAAAAAGTAGTTTTTACACTTTTTCAAGAACAATAATAATAAAAAAAAGAAGTTGAAAAATAAAATTTTTACGAGAATCTATTTATAAGTAAATTCTGAGACATAAACATTAAATTAAGTATGAATTTTTCATTCGAAACGAAAACTGCTTATAAAAAATATAAGAGCGGTGTGAAGATAGAAGTGAATAAGAAAGACATTTATAAATAGAATAGAACTATCATTTTCCTACTCAATCAACGAAATAGGGTTGCACGCTGTAGCAAGATGTGACGCATAGATCGGTCGAGTTACCATATTCTCAATTTTGCGGCTTTTTCTTGACCTCGCCAGTGGTGCCGAAATAGTGAGCATTTCCGTAAGTGCCCACAGGCTACCACGGCCCCACTCTAATTTGATTAATCTTAAAGCTAATGATGGTTACACTAAATGATTATTTTAATGGATATTAAAAAACATTTAAAAAATAATTTATATACATGTTTTTTTATTTCTTCTGAATACCTTTTAGTTTTAAAAAAAAACGGTTAAATTTGTTCACATTTTGAAACAGAATCAGTAACGCAATATATTTGTTGATACAACTGTTTTTTTTTTAAATGCTTTTCTGTTTTACAGATTATTTAATTGTACAAAAAAATGTATGCCAAACATTTAGATTGATAAAATTATAAAGCATGTACGAGGGAAGAACTATTTTACGTACTTGATATGGACTACTGGGTGCAGCTCTTTCAGAACCCATGACAACTGGTGTTCTTGATGTTTGCCATCTTTGACCTTGATGATTGTGCAATCTCCAAAGAGTGGTTACTTTACCACCCGCTTCACCTGCTGCTGATCTAACATGAATTCTTAAACTTCCTAAACTTGGCCCTGCTGGATCAATTGATCTTTCATACATGAAATAATAGAATGATAAACATCGAGTTCGTCCAGTTGCAGAAAAAAGAGGGCTAATTAACCAAGCCCTTGTTCCCCCTCTTTGAGGTGCATGTGGATTACTTAGAAGATTCATGTAATAGCCTAAAAATATTTTCTTAAATATCAATATTAAAGACATTTAAATTATTATTTGGTGTTAATTGTGTCATTACATTTCAAAATATTATACAGATTCATAAGCGAAGTTGATAATTGAGTACAAGTTATTTAAATATCACGAAAGATTATTATATTTTTTTCTAAATTTACAAATCATCATTATGAAGTTAATTAAGCACTACTTAGAAATACTTAGTGCTAATACTATTATTTGGTGTTAATTGTGTCATTACATTTCAAAATATTATACAGATTCTTAAGCGAGGTTAACAATTGAGTACAAGTTACCTAGATAGAGAATATCACGAAAGATAAGTATATTTTCTAAATTTTTAAATCTTCATTATGAAGTTGAATAAGCACTACTTAGAAATACTTGTTTAAAAGTTCTTAGTAAAAATTTAACAATGGTTTACTTATTCTTCAAATTACAAATGAAATATAATTTCTTTGTGCTTTATGAAAGCTCTTAGATCTTACTTGATGCTTGCTACTTCACACTTATACATCTTAAATTACAATGATTGAATGTAGATAGAGATTTTGAGAAAACATAGCGATGACTTTAATGCATTACAATTAAAAAAATGATAATATTATTACAAGATAAACATCTAGAAGTAACAGGGAATGGAAATAGTACCTGAAAGTGTACTAAGAGTATTTCCTTATATTGTGAAGGGGTAACTGGAACCAATTATCGTTGGGTTGTTCTTAATTAAATGATTGTAACCTTTTAAAAGTTTCGTAACAGAAAATTCCTTCCACGAAAAGCAATCTGATAAACATATCTATTATAGTCCATTCCACCTTAAGTTGGCACTGGAGAGAAAGATAGGTAGACCGGATTACATGGAAACTGGGTTACTCAGTACGGGGATGAGGTAGCAACAAAGGGAGAGAAAGTGGCCAGTATTGGCGTTTAAGAAAGCAAAACGCCGATTTTTTTTTTAAAACCAAGAATCGTACTAAAATTTTGTACAGAATACGGAAAAGAGTACGATTTTTTAGAGCATTTCTCATAATCATTATTTTAAGATACTAGTTGTAAGCTGATTTCTTAATTAGTATTTAAAAAGCAGATTTTCTTATTATGATTTTTTAACTAAACGAAACTAATTTTAAACAGAAAAAAATATATATATTTAAAAATATTCTTTTTTGCTGAAATCTAAGTAAATAAAAAAATCAATGCATAGATGCGCAAAAATACTTTGTTTTAAATATTTATTTTTATATTCTTATTCTTATTTTTTGTAGATTAATGTACATTAATTTATCCCACATTGGTGATTTGTTGGGGAAGGAAAAGTCAGCATAGGCTGGAAATTATTGATCATGAAAAAGATCATACTTATGTTTTATAATACTTACTGTTTTTTTTTCTTATTATAATTTTTTAATTAAACGAAACTAATTTTAAACAAAAAAAAATATATTTAAAAAGATTCTTTTTTGCTGAAATCTAAGTAAAAAAAAAACGAAATGCATAGATGCGCATAAATACTTTGTTTTAAATATTTATTTTTATATGCTTATTTTTTGTAGATTAATGTACATTAATTTATCCCTCATTGGTGTTTTGTTGGGGAAGAAAAAGTCAACATAGGCAGGAAATCATTGATCATGAAAAATATCATACCTATGTTTTTTTAATATTTACTGTTCTTTTTTTTATAAATAAAAAATTTTAAAAAAAATTTCAGAAAAGTTTTTTTTTTTACTATAAAATTTTTTTCTGAAATATATTTGCTTCTAAGAGACAAAAGAACTTACCTGAAAAAAATAATTAGTATTATCCATATGGGGGGCGTACTGTTTCCCCCCCCCCATGTTTTCAGCTGCCATATCCCACCCTCTTAGACTCAACAGGAACTCTTTGAATAACATGATAACCACCTATCCTGGTGGTTATCATGTTATTCATTTAATATTTTAACAGTTGACAGTTCCTTCTGCAAACTCTTTGTGGGGTAGCCCTGAATTGAATTCAATCCACAATTTCTCATCAGGCGAAATTCTACTTGGATGGGTAGGCGCATTTCTTCAAAAGAAAATACATATTTTGAAATATCAGAACTTTCCTTTACTTTTCAGGACCTTTGCAGGTGAAAGGAGGCTTAAGAGAAAAATCCGTATAATTTGTTATTTAAGTACAGTAGAATTAGTTAGTCTCGAAATATTTTGTCAGATACTGAAATATCTTAATATTTTCTACATAAGAGAAAGGATTTCTCAGCTTTTTGGGCTTTGTATTTCAAAAATAATTATTAAAATATTGATTGGTTTAAATTAACCTTTCGATGTTTAAAAAAAATTAATGATTCAAATTTTGCGTCTTTTTTGAAATTATTTCAATTCCTATACATTTTATTAGTTATAATTAATGAATTAACACTTCTATTATGGAAATTGTATTTCAGATAATATTTAAAAGACCCTTTAATTGAAAAAACTAAAAATCTTAAATTTTTACATTATTTAAGTTCCTATAAAAAGCGAATTGTACTTCAGAACTAAACATGGCGCAAAAGACGCAAAATTTGAATCTTTACAGAGATCGAATAAAGCGAAAAAAAAAATTTTCTTTTGTCGTAAAAAAATAATAATAAAATCACATGTTGAATTAACTACACAGCAAATATGCTCAACTGTCATCAGTTTAATAATATTCACCTGTCTATTGGGGTGTTTTTTTTTTTTTTATTTATTCTGAGGGGAAAAATTTTTTCATTAAATATTGTACAGATGAGGTTAATATTTAGAAAATTAAATAATCAAATACAAAAAAAAAACGAAATAAGAACTGCACAAGAGATAGGACACTTAAGCAAAGCCAAGGCGAATGGAAAAGCTGACTGACCAGTGTAGAAACATAGCCAATGAGCCAATTCCTTGTCCTTGAAAACTAATTCAGCGCCAAACTAAAACACCTTCTTCTTTGCACATTTGCTTTACTGAGAAGGTATTTATAAGCTAAATACATTTGAACATGAAAAACTTCTAATGAATGTTTCATGATATACTTTTCTTACTATGCAACATTTATTTATATTTGTGCGCACATTTAAACTGCAATTAATTCCAAAATAGCGAAGAACTACTTTTCAAAGGCGGAGTATTACATTTCCTACCTTTCTCTCCAGTGCCAACTTAAGGTGGAATGGACTATAAATAAATAACAGCATAATATTGCAAACGTTGAAGCACTTTTGGCATTTTCAGAAATGTAATTTTATTTAATAACCGTCGTTGAATAGCTAACCCAATTTTTTGAGTTTACGACTACTAGCGCTCAACTCCGTTGCCTTGTAATTTTGAATCCAATCCAGAAGGCAAGGGAACTCCTGGATCAAGTATTGAGAGAATTTTGCCTTCGTGGAGGACTTTTTTGATGGAACTAACCCGCTTTTGCGTTACATGGAGATGAAAATCACAAAATACTCCCACTGTTAGCCTGACGGCAAGAGGATTCTAATCCATAATCCGTCTACCAATGACGATATTTTATGTCAACACTGTGGTCGGTGCAAGTTATGTGCGGAATTCGGATCGACCAGATATCGCTGAGATTCGAACCCGGTTTACCTCATTAGAAGGTGAACGCTCTATCCCTTGAGCAACCCAGGTTTTTGTTTTTATTATTAATATTATTAGTCAACTCAGTTTTTTAACCATGCAAAATACATTAAAATAACGTATTGTTTTTAAAATCTTTGTAATTAGTATGTCGCCTACATTACCACATCATATCATTCGTATAATTGCTTTGTATGTTGACTTGTTTATAAATATTTATAAACGTGGAAGACTTTTTTGATGGAACTAACCGCATTTGCGTGACATAGAGAGGAAAACTACGAAAACTTTCCACGGTTAGCCTGATTGCAAGCGGACTCTAACTCATGATCCATCTACCACTGAGGATATATTAAGTCGGCACTGAGGTCGTTGAGAGCCAGATACAGAATTCGTATCTACCAGCTATTGCTGAGATTTGAACCCAGTTCACCTCATTGGAAGCATAGAGTTGATATAGTAGGTAGAGGAACGCTCCAGAAACGTAATTAGAAGTTTTCAGTTGCAAAAGAGCTGGCATTTGTGATATATAGGAGTGTATGAAAACGTTTCTATATCATTTTGAAACGTTTTCGCCAAGCTATATATATATTTAAGTTTTTACTATCATTAGCCCTGCGGTAGTACTAATTCGTTTGAAAGGGGAAAAAAACAGATTTTTTTTTAAACATCAGATAAAATGTAATTAACTTTATTTGAAAATATTACATTAGCTCACAAGGAATATAGTAAAGTAACTTAAAAGAAATTTATCAATCGGCGCCGACTACCGTCTTACCTTCTTTTGTACCTTTCGTATGATCTGTAGATGGCCCTGATACACTATAGCTGTACTGCCGAGCCCAGTCGAAGTCATCGAGAGCATCAATTGGTAAAGCATTTGTCCAACCACACGCATCTTCTTCAAACGTACAATCGCCTAAGAGAAATTCAAACCACTAACAGTCAGCAACTATTTAAACTGATTAAAAAATTTCTTCAAAAGAAATTTCAAGTCAAAAGTACTTCTAAAGAAATCATTTTTTGCTAAAAATAAACCAAATTCTTTAAAAATAGATAATTGCAATATTTTTCATAAATTTAGATAATATTTTTTTTACACTTATTAAACAATATTTGTCCATTAACCTTTACAATAATTTTTGATAAATATTTACAATATTTTTGCCTAAATATTTCATTTTCATATTGATGGCAATAATTAGAAAATTTTAAGCAATTCAATAGTTGATAGAGACCCCACTAGACAGAATATTAGTAACAAAACTGCAAAAAAAATTATTTCGTTAAGATGAATAGGCTTTGTCAAGACATACTTAAATAACTTTTAAACTATGAAACAAGTATCTGTCCATTCTAAAACGACTACTCACAAGCATATGGAAATGCCTTTATCGGCATCTAGATTCTAAATTTTTCATTCTTCTTCTATTGGCATGACAGCCCTTTGTGAGTCAGAGCCTTCCCTAGAATCGCCCTCCATTCTGCTCTTTTGTTTGCGATTGTTCTCCAGTCAGTTGTTCTTAGGATTTTAAAATCCTCTTCCACACAGTCAAGTCATCTGATCTTAGGCCTACCACTAACTCTAGTTCCCATTGGTTTGTAATTGAAGATCCTAAATGTCAAGAAAGAAGGGTCTATTTGACAGAGCCGTGAGCTTTAAGCGACTTATTTTGATGCATTTGTGGATAACAGCTTCATTGAATGGCCTATATAGTTCAAAATTATGTGGATATTGTGCCTAGAGTGTTAACACCAGAATCACGAATCCCCCATTCCAGCGCCAAGTTGAAAAGAAGACAGGTAAGAACGTGGCCCTGTCTCACACCATTTACAATTTCAGAAAATTCTGTAAGATTGCCAAATAACTTTATACAGGAGAAAGTCTGAGTTAAAGTCGACTTAATAATCCGTACAAGTTTATCTGAAATGCCTAGCTCATAAAGAGCTCTGAGTTGTAAATCACGAATAACACTATCGTAGGCTGATTTAAAGTCAATAAAAAGATACGGTAATTCGATATTATACTCTCTGGATTTTTAGAGAATCTGACGCAAGTTGAATATCTGCTCACGTGTCGATTTACCCTTTCTAAACCCACATTGATACTCTCTTACTATGTCTTCAACCAGAGGGCTTAGTCTATTGAAGATGATAATAGAGAAGATTTTATAGATTTGTCATTAGAGTTCTTATTTTATGAACAGTACAAGATACGAGGACAATGTTTACAATAAAGATATAGAGTAATATCCATTTCATATAAAAAAATAACTAGTGGTCAGGTATATTGAGGATAAAATGTGCAAAACATGCAAATTTTTAGCGTTTTTTCAAAAGCCGCAATGTGAGAAAAAATTAAGAAAAATAAAGCGTTTTAAACAAGCGTTTCATACATTTGAAATAATAGTTAAGAGAGTTTTTTTTTAATTTTAAACTGATGATGTAATGGATCTTTTCTAGTAACTCGAACCACTTACGCAAGCGTGCATTTATGTATTAATGACGCACATTTTCAGAACATATATGGAGAAAAAAATTCTGATTAAATTACCGTATTGAATGGTAATGACATTTCTAGCAATAATAAAAAAAAACACAATTCTGGAAATTGAAACCAAAATATACGGGATTTAGGTGTCTTATAGGTCTAGACAAAAAGTTTCTCCCCCACCTGAATGATTGATGGAGTAGGCGGAGGTTATATGTTGAAAAAGCACACCTTCTCACGGAGATTATTACTCGCCAAATCTTTATGACGCCAAAGACGACAAAGGGTCTCAAATGGAAATCCGATCTACATTGCATTTGAGCGACATAGTTGATTAATTCTTCCTTTAGTGGGAGAGTGAAAATTGCAGAATTTTTAGGAGGCGCAAGGGATTTTTAAGGAGAAAAGCTTTCCTATTTCGGGATTTAAACCATTCATTTTGTAAATTTTCCGTTCAGATGGTAATGGTTCACCGGAAATTCTGGTTTTCAAAATCATAGTTCTCCTTTAAACACATTTCGCTAGAAATACAAAACTGAAAAGTAAATTAAATCGAATAGATAATTTTTAAGCTATGCTCTTAGGTATCGTGATTAAATTACCACATTCATCACATATTATAAAACAATATTTTATTGTTAATTTTACCAAAAACCTTACCAAAGCGCTATGGTAAAAATTACTGAGCTTTTTGGTTTCCCACAGAGCCAGAAACACGGTAAATTTTAACATATTCTGGAAGCTTTGACTATACTTTTCTTCTTAGAACAGATATTAAGCATTTATTGCATTATTACAACTTTATCAGTTAAAAATTTACACTGGTGTGCAAAACTTAAGCAACAAGTGCGTTTTCTGTCATAACTATACAAGAAATCATCCAATTGACATGAAATTTGAATATGATGTACATTATTTTGTACTTAAACGATGGTAAAAGAATAATAGCGCAGAAATGAATATAAAGCTTAAAGTAGGGTATGGAACAAAAAAAGGCTTTATTTGACATATAGTGGCGTTACACATGATTGCCTGAAGAAGCGTAAGTACAACTGGCAGATGTTCCCTAGTATGGGATATGCCCTCCCCTTACTGTAATTGTTGCTTGGCATCGTCTCTCCATGCTAAGCACCAGATTATCCAGGAGTTCTTGGGGTAAACGTCTCCATTCCTCCTTTAACGCATCTTTCAGCTGATGGGTGTTACCAGGAGGATACTGTCGTGTCGCAAGACGTCTCCCTAATGCATCCCACACATGCTCTATGGGATTTAGATCTGGAGAGTAAGCTGGCCAATCCATTCGTGTGATATCTTCACTTTCCAGTAGCTCTTGAACATTAGCAGTACGGTGTGGCCGGGCATTGTCATCCATAAAAATGAAGTCTGGTCCAATGGCCCCTCGGAACAGACGCACATGGGGTAGGATTACCTCATTGCAGTAGCGGTCTCCAGTTACAGAACCTCGGTCGAAGATCTGAAGCTCAGTCCGCCCGTTCAACATAATGCCACCCCAGACGACAACTCCAGGACCACCGTAACGATCTCTTTCCGCGATGTTATTGGGATGAAATCGAGCTCCAACCTCTCTCCAGATCAACTGACGTTGAGAATCGCTTGTAGCACTAAAACGACTCTCATCGGTGAAGAGAACGCGACTCCAGTGATGAGGTGTCCAGGTTTCGTGTTCTCTGCACCACTCTAAACGGTACCTCCCATGGCTAACTTTTAAAGGTATGCAGCGTTCAGGACGTCTAGAAAATAAGCCACCTTTTGTGGAGGCGTCTGGCCACTGTAAATCTTGATACTTCTCGTCCTGTGGCTGTGCATAGTTGCTGAGATATGGCTCTCGCTGACTGAAAACGGTTTCTTTTCGCATGGAGGACAATGTAACGGTCATCTCTTGGTGTTGTTTTCCTTGGACGGCCACCACCAACCTTCCGAACAGCTGTACCAATAGCGGATGTCTTTAACTACCGTGCTCTTCATCCTTTTATCACAGCTTTGACCTGCGCGCGTCGACCCACAAGATTTACGTACACTTACATCACCTACGACGTTTTATTTCTAAAATTTGCATACAAATAATCTTTCTACTGAATTACGTGCATATTATACTGCAATTTCATGGCTATCTTATACTTTGTTGGGGAGCTGTGGCCGAAAAACCACTTGCTGCTTAAGTTTTGCACACCAGTATATTTGAGTGAGTCATAAATTTCATAACAGTTCAAAATAATTTCAAAAGTTATTCATAAATGATCTAATTTGCAAAAAAAAAAAAGAATGAGAATTTGTATATTTACCAGAATTTTTAGCAGCCGTTTGAGGTGTGACTGAAAAAAAAAGTTCAAAAAATTACAAAAAGTAAAAAAGGCTAAATAAAACTTCACAATGTTTGAACATTGAAAATTTTATGACGTTAATTTTTAATTTTTAGAAAAAAGATGATTCCATATAAAGAATATTTTCTTAAAAAAAGGTGTGTTCTAATATTCACAAATAAGGGCAAAATATTTAGAAGTAAATATTTAGACGCATATTTATTATTTGCTAAGGTAAGGCAGAGATGTAAAATCAATGTGTATTTTGATGAATTTCGATATTATAATTTTCTTTTGAACTTCGTTGCACTGAATATTACTGAAAATTTTAAAAAGAAAAGATACACACACATACAGACATTCATTCATACAGACACACATTCCCTTTAGATCAAAGGGAAAAATCATTTTTTAAACAGTAATTCCCATTTTAATTATTGAATTTTAAATTAATTCCAAATGGTCTGCGTAACTAACGAGATGAATTAATAGTTAATGCTTAGTTTACGCATAATCTTTATAAAAATTATCACGAAATAGTATGGTAAAAGGGGTACTAAAAGTCTGTAAGGGACAATTGGGTTAATATGAGACTATCTTCTAAAATTTCTAAACCTATACATAAAAACACAAGAAAGAATTATAAAATAAAATTAAATAGAAATTTTTTTAATGGAAAAACGTAAAGGTTCTCTTCAGGACGCACTCCTTTACAATTGTAAAAATACGACATTTCAAAATAAAGAATAATTATCCTAAGATAAAAATTACTCTTTATAATGCGCTTATATCACTCCGACCTCTGTACTTACTCTGATTATATGTTATTAAACTCCGACCTCTGAACTTGATAACATATAATGAGTTTTTTGGAAGCAACTTTTCTAACAAGAATTTTCTTGAGTTCATAAATAAATAAGTATGAAATCATAAATAAATAAGTATGAAATAATTGAAGTTCTATTGTGGAAAAAAATCCTCAAGAAAATGCTTACTTGTGCAAGTTCCTGGTATAAATGATACACTATCGATCGCAATGTTCCCAAGAGAATTAGTCCCCACAACTCCTTCAAAAACAAGCTGAAAATGAGCAATAACATTAATTTATACAATTAAAAAAAGCTAATAATCCAGAAAATCCTTTCAGTGGTATAGCTTTAAAGTTGAGTCTCTAAAACCTTTAATTTGCATTGTTAATCAGTAATTAAATTTGTATTGATAATAAATTGTATTTAAATAAATAAATAAAAAACGAATTTTATTAAAAAAAATAAAGATTTAAGTCTTATTATTTTTTAATAAAGAAAAGGGTAATACTTCGAGCTAAGCACAAAGCATTACCTACGCAAAAAACAACACAAATAAAAAAACTTAAATTTACGCATTATAGTTTCAGTAAAGAACCTTCTTCAGTGTCTAAACGCCAAATAAATGAACGATTTTCTAACATTTATTTACTCATAAAAATAAAATTTCGTGATTAATGCAGTTTCTTTTTTTTTTTTTTTTTTTTTTTTTTTTTTTTAAATATTGACACGAAACACGTTGACATGGCCGAACGGCTTAAGGCACTTACTTAGCAAGTCGGAGGTCTTGAGTTCGACCTTTCAAGTTCTCCCGATTTCGACCGAAACTTCAGATGCATTTAAATATGAATATAAGTAATTTTAGTTATTATTTACGGAGTGTTCTAAAAGTTTCTAGAACATTCTCTTACTCCATTTCCGTTTCCTTATTACACTGTATATAAGTTCATGCTTTTCAAGTGGAAAAGGTAGTTACCATGTTTTTTGCATCCTAGATGTTGGTTAATAAATCTGCTTTACTTGCCAATGTAAATGTTATTCTTTTTACACGACAATTTACAGTAAAATCAGTAGAAATTCACAAATAAAATAATTAAATCTATACTTAATATTTAATTACAATCCTTAAAAATTCAAAAGAAATATGTATAAAATATAAAAAAGCAATGAACTTTGAAAATCAACAAAGATATTTTTCTGAATTTCATACTTATTATGCCATGCTTTTTTGTCATATAAAATTCAATAAATCCATAAAACAGTTTTTTGTAGTTAAAATCTTGAAACAATTTTGAATAGGGTTCTGAAACTAAGCCCATTGTGTAATTCCATCTTTAATTATATTATTATCATTTCGTAGTTATATCATTTTTACTCTGTTCTTTTAAGACTATATCTGCTTATTAAAACTGCTTGAATTTATCTTGTTTCTATAAGATTGAAAAGTCTACTAAGACTATTTTTTATTTTTAAAAATGAGTAAAAAAATCTCCAGACTCTTCCATTCATTTAATGTTTAGACACTGAGGAAGTTTCTTGTTTATAGAACTGAAACTATAGTATGTCAATTTATGTGTTTTCATTTGTGCTTTATTCACGTTGGTTTTTAGTGTAGTCTACTGATCCATTTTTGTTCTAATATGCCGTATTCAAACTACTAGCATGGTAATTTTCTCTCTCTTCTTTTTTAACCGAAGACATATCTAGTTTAGTGGAACTTGTTGAACTATGGTTTGAAAGCAATGGTGCAGGCTCTCACAGAAAAAAAATTTTTTTTACTAATTTACATATTCAGCGAGCTAGAAAAAAAATTAACTGAATAACTTTTAACTTAATGATCGGAATATCAGATTCAATCTTAATGAATTCAATTTAGAGTAGATATTATTTAAGTTCATTATTTATGTATTAAGTTACGATAGATATAAAAAAAATACTTTTCTGAATAACTATTATGGCCCTCGAAAAATGGGTAGCCAAGATAAAGAAAATATGGCACCCAATAAAATTAGTCAGAAGAGCTGTCTAACTTTAATTTTGCTTCTTTTCATTTTAATTTTTACTCATTTCTAAATCAGTGGAATAAAATGTGCAAATGAAAAACTTCGCATACAATTCTTAATATTTTTTTAAATTTGAAATGCACGCAAAATTGTTACATGCAAAATTTACACTCATAATTACATGCAAAAACATTTTCATTACTTATTTATTATTTAAATTTCTAATGATTTAAAAAACTTTGAACTACACTGTATATTTTTTACACCATTAAATACACAAACGTTTAACCAATTTCTTTCAAATATGGGATAATGTCATGTAAAATTACAGTGTTACAGGATTTAAATTTTTTTTACTAAACATAATTATAACTAATGGTAAAATATTTATGACGTTAAAAGTTTAAAATTTAAAATGATGGATATTTTTTATGGGACAGTGGTGACCTTTCGAGTTAAAAGTTTTATATTTAAATTAATTTTAATTTTAGCTTAGATTTTAAAGTCTTACTGATGATTAAAAAAGATATGTTAAGAATTCGATCGAAACTCATTTAAACTACTCGTGATATCATACCTGATAGGAAGTGGCTGATGAAACAGAAACTTGTGCTCTGTACCATTTGTTTCCAGATTCTCCACTTATTTCCCAAAGTACTCTGTCAGGAGCTTCATCCCCTGGAACACGCTTCAGTACCCTCAAACTCCCAACTCCGTTCCCAAACATATGGGTAGCAAATTTCATGCAAACTGGATTATTGTCACCTAACCCATAAATTACAGATAAGTATGGTTTGAAACCAATGGTTTAAACAGAATTTGTAAATAGTATAAGCGTTTCAAGGTTGAGTAATCTCCCCACACTTTTCCCCTTTCCATTACCATGGTCGTGGCAAATCTTTTTCTTCCCCACAGCAGTACGTTTAAGTAAGGAGTTGAATTATACTTGAATTGGGAAAAAGCAAGATTTGCCGAAAATATAGTTACGGAGAAGGGAAAGTATAAAGAGTGGAGAAATCGTGCAACTTTGAAACGCTTATGTATAAAAAGTATAGTTCTCTAATGAATTTATTTTCTTAATGCATCAAGAAAACTGTAAATAAGTTTGAAAAAATTGGCAATTCAAGTATTATACTATTTGTAATATACATTAGGTATGAGGTGTTAAGGTTTATTGTTATTATGTTTGTTGGGTAAATACCATAAATGTATCTCATAACTAGTATTGTCTTTCAATAGTGTTTATTGCTAATAGGCAGCAAAATTTTTTTTAAAAATTCAATTGGAATTTCTCTACAGATTTTTGCGTACATGTGCAATTTAAAATCTTAAATGGAGCGGATGGCATGAAACCGCAGCCCCAAGCATTTTAAAATATTGAATTTCATCAGTGCAAATATGCTGAATATCTTGAATATTTTTTCATTATAGGACAATCAAATTTTTTTAAAGAAAAGTTTATATTTTATATAAATGTGTCATTTTAAAATAAAACCATAGTATTACCAGTAGCCAAGAAATTAGGACTTAATAGTCTCGCCCGATCTCCTGGTCGCCTCGGGAAAGAAGCGTCTATGTAAGAGTAGCCACCTAAAAAGATTTGCAACGAAGCACATCTTTTAATATGTTATTGAAGTTGGAAAAAAGAAGAGAGATGAAAGTTACTCTTGGTTTGATGAAAAATCTGTTTTTAATACCTGTCTGTTCATCTCTGTTATAGCTGCTAAAGTCTCTAGATGGACCCGTTAAAAAACTTTTACTTGATCTACCTAATTCCCAATCAAAATCATCTTCCACATCATTCGTCCAACCACAGAATCCACCTTCAAAGGTACAGTGACCTGTCAGTGGACAATTCTTAAATTTAGAATCACGCATTCATCATTAGTTAAGGTATACCATTAGTTAGTCAAGATTAGTTAAAGTATGGCTTATGTCAATAATGCTAAAACTGACATTTTTTTCGAAATATCTTTTCCAGGAAACTACTTGTGATATCGCTTCGAAATTTTTGGTGGATGTTTGAGATTATATCAGTTGTATGCTGTGATACTGTTTTAGCGTTAAAGAGATTACTTTTTGACATATGAAAGTGTTTTGGTCAAAAATGATGAAACTTTTAAAAAAATTAAAAGTTCTCAGCTCATAATTTGTAAAAAAATCTGCCAAAGATATGCATTAGCACTTATCACAGTGCAAACATGTATATGCAATATTCTGTGAAAAAAAACTGAAACATTATCTTATTTAGATGCTGATGAAAGGTACATTAAAAAAGATCAGCTTTAGCATTATTGGTATATGCCCTACCGACCCTTTTTAAAATCACATAAAAGAAATTTTTATGCTCTATGATCTCGTTTCAATTTGTTTGAATTATTGACATACTTCCATGACACCTGTTATTTACATGTTTTCGGCTCATAATTTTTATTATATTAATATTTGAATTTATTTTATACAATAAATATAAAATAAAGAAATACCTCGATTATTGCAAAATAAAGAAATAGGACTCACCAAAGCAATTGTCCAAGTCCGGGCTTCCCATTTTCTGAAACACCATATCATCTAATGCTATATACCCTCTAAAAGGTCTTGCAGGATCATTGGTTGCTTTAGTAACGGCTTCAAAAACTATCTTAAAAACAAATTTATGTCAGTAAAAGAAAGTTCGTGTATTTTTCTAGACATTAGAATAACTGTGGAGGAAAAACTAAAAGTGGAGGAAAAAACGTTTTTTTGTGAAAGAGAAATATAATAATTAAAATGAAAATTTTAAAAATTAATTAGAATTATGCAATGAATTTCTTGCACTGAGAAAAAAAAAGTAGGATCAAAACTACCAGAATATGGTAAAAAGTACCGTGTTTCTGTCTCTATGGGAACACCAAAAAACTCGGTAATTTTTACCGAAGTGCTTTGAAGATTTGATTATTGATCAAAACATCAACGATTAATTTTGGTAAAATTAACACTAAAGATGTTTTATAATATGTGAAAATAGAAACGTTAGAAAATGCCTCTGATTTTTTTAATTTTTAAAACTAAGGGTTTTTTTGAATTTCCCAAAATAATAACGCAGTTGCATCACGTGTATGATGAAGCTAAAATTACACAAATGTATTTTTTGATGTTAATAGGTTAATTCAGCTAATCGAAAGAAATAATATAATCATCACAATTTTTCCGAAACTGTAAACTAGGATAAATGCTTTGCTGTAGTTTTAGCAATATTATAAATAAAAGTATTATTACAATTATTTTTTAAGCTTGGTATTAGTTCGTCACGTGTGGTACATATAATTTGCTTCGTTGACGGAAATCTTAAATCATGAAATATTATTTTCTTATGTCTGGAAATTTTAAAAATAAATTTTAAGGATTTTTTCTCTGTTTCCTCATTCTTTAAACTCTTGTTCTTTATTGGTTTCTTTCTTCCTGCCTGTAATATATCTATTGTAAATAACTTAAAACATATTAAAAAGGTAATTATAATTTCACATCTTCTTCTAAAAAAATGAAAAATATCATTTTATAAAGGTATCATTAGTTATTAAAGCAGATATAACTAATGATATATAACTAATGATATATAATGATATATACATATAATAACAAAATAATTTCAAAAATATCATTAGTTAGTAATTTAAAAAAAAAGAGAAGCTTTTGAAGTTTTAGAAACGATATACTACCTTAAATATAGTGTATCAATGAGCAATGGGTATTTTTTTATTTCATTTTATTAACTTTTATCCCAAATTTGTTAAATTAAATTATACAAAAAAAAGTTACTTAATTTTCTGTGTTTTATGTTTTATTTATGTTTGTTTGTTTTATATTTTCTATTTTGTGATGTTATGCGTGCGTCTGTATAATTTTAATTAATTCATTCTCTGAGACAGATATTTTATGTAATTTAAACTATTTATTTTTCATTCAAAAAATTAGCATTTGCGTTAAATATGAAAATTATTGAATATTTGGATTTCTGACCCTCAAAACATAGGGGTAACCATAATCTGGGAAATGTGGTCCTAATAGATTGGACAGGAGAGCATTTCAAAGTTTGGATCCTTCAATGTTAATTGTACTTTTTGCGTATTTCGCATTATCTCAATACTCTACCTTAAATACAGTGTTTTTAAGAGTTATAAGTATTTATTTATTTTTTGATAAATTTTTAAGTCTCGAATTATCTCGAGAACTTTTTAAGCGAATTGAAAAAATTTTGGAAATTCCATCGAGAAAAAAAAACTTTTAGTAAATGTTTATTATTTTTTATTATTTTGTTTAATAATAGTCAAAAAATTCTGAATTTGTAAAGGTATGACAATTTTTACGTCATTTTAATGAATGTAATTTCAAATGGCAAAATACTAAATTTGAGCGAAATTGGTCGAATAGTTCCTGAGGATTTTGAAAAAGTCGTATTTTCAAAAATGGATTTCTAAGGTACTATTCGGCCGATTTCGTTCAAATTTTGTAATTTGCCATGTACTTCCGGATTGTGGCTACCCCCTATATTTTGAGGGTCAGAAATCCGAATCCGTCGAAAAATAGGTATATTTATTAAGAGAAAGTACGTTTCTGTGTCTGATTTCGTAACTTAAAATATTGTCTTCACCAATTAATTAGCATATTTGAGGTCACCCCCTCGAACCATTAAGATTGAGTCCTAGAACGTGAAGATCCTAACATTAGACCAAAAGTTATTTGGAATGCCGATTTTTTTTTCGCACTGTACATTATGAATAATTATATTAGTTGCTTTGCGAATCTAAAATTGTATGCAATCTGAAAATTGCAAAAAAAAACAAAAAAAAAACAGAGTGGTATGAATCGAAATAATCATTATGGAAAGATATTTTTATTACCAAATGATTTCCATCATAAGTATATGCTACTTCTCCTTTGGTCCAACTTCCTTCTACTCCTTCTCTGATTTCCCACAATGACGCATTTTCAGCAGTTTCCATGTCTTTTAGATGAATTATGAGTCTATCAGCACTTAAGCCTTCCATGATGTAAAAGAAACTAAGGCAATAACCCATTGGTCCTGTTTTACTGAGATTCCTACTTATAAATAATGCACTATCAATGACCCCAAAGTCATCATCTGGATCTACAGAAGATCCTCCTGCTCCTTGGGGTAATGGTCGAGCTCCACCTACCACTTGATGGTCTTGTTTCACTATTGTTGGCACCACTGGTAGATGACTATCTTCTTGAAACGATGTTTCGTAAAATACATAACCACCTAAACAGTTTGGGAAAAAATTTATTTAAAATTGCTTGTTTAATTTTGTAAACTTTTCAATGCTCAGTTATATTCTGTTTATTCTTTCAGACATTTTAGCATTAGATGAAGTCAATTTTTAATGTTCCCTTTAAATTCCAGTCAGTGGCATTATTAAAAGGACATTATAGCGTTCGAACAAATTCTGTTCCACCTCCTTTGATACACTGTTAGAAATTTCTCGATGAAAATGGTTAAATAGCAATTTATTTAATTGGAATTTTACCATATTAAACCAAAGAGTCAAATAACCATAAAAAAAAGCTGATATTCAAACTGTTAAGTATGAGAAAAAATATTTATTGATTGTTTTTATCTTATATGATTTAACAAGAGGAATTCTACCCGCGCAAATTAGGCTCACGTAATAAAGCCGTTTTGTAATATATATACTGTAGCAATGTGTTAAATGCATACATATTAAATTATCTGATAATGCAGTCTACGCAAAATTAAAAGTTCCTAAATTTTTGATGTAACTACGCCATGGTTCCCACTTTTTCATAACAATAAATATTGCTTTTAAAAATATTTGTCATCAAAATTTTTTCCCCATTAATATATCATAAGAACCATCTTCACTTTTTTAAGATGCAGTTGGCCCATTTTTATTCCGCGCATTCAAAGAAAAGAGTTAATATTAACTTTGCCGATTTTCATTTTGTTTGATTTATTTGTTTGTTTTTATTTATTTATTTTTCTGATGTAATGAACGCCGGTTTTTTTGTTCTTCTTCAGATTATATTTTCCGAGATATTCAACAATTACAAAACATTTTAGTAATCCTGCACATACTAAGTATATTTTCGTACCAGCTATTAACTTTATTTGGTTTATTAAAGTTTATTCCTTTTTAAATTTATGATTTATTACAGTTTGAATTATTATTTTGAAGTATTTATATTAAATAAATGTATGAATTCATAAAGGTAAAAAAAGGAAATTTGTAGCAGATAAATATTTTTTACGTTTTTAATAAAATTACTGAAGTTCATCGATATTAGTTTTTAAAATAATATTAATAATTTTTTGCAAAATCAAATAAATATGTAATTTAGTAAAATTTTATAATTTGTATAAATTTCTTTAAAATGGTACTAAATGTTACTACAGTCAAACCCCGCTATAGTGAGCACGGTTTATAGTGAACTCCCGAATATAGTGAACGAAATGTTATTAGTTGTTTTGCTATACACGTATAATGTTACTTTTTGTGGATATAGTGAACCAAAAAAGTGCGGAAGTTGGACATAATGAACTTTTTTCTGTCTTCGACTGATTTTTTTCTTCATTTTTTTGGTAATAATATACCTATACCGATTTTTAAAACCATATATAGAGGGGAATGTAGCGATAAGCATTTTCTCTTCTTTGCCTCTTTTATCTCACTTTCCCATCCCTAAACAAACCAAGCAGATGTTTCCAACCCAGGCAGATGATGAACCTGTAAGGCGTCAGTGGGATCAATATGCATTTTCTGTCAGAGGGAATGAGTCATTATTGGTCAAAGGGTTGGCACTAATATGTGTTGATAATGCCCTGATTTCAACTCCTTTTTGCTCTCAGTTCAGTTCAAAAAAGCCTGCAGACAAGTTTCTCAAATTTAACTATGGCGATCAGTAAACGTAAGACGATCTTCATTGATGATAAAATGGGCATAATCAGAAAAATTGAAAATGGATGCAATCCAGCTGATATTTGCAGAGAATATAAACTATCCAAATCTGCAGTTTGTAACATATGGAAAAATAGGCAGTTTATAATTTCTGCTCAGGAAAAAAATTTAGTTGCCAGAAAAAAGTTGAGAAAAGCAGATCACAGGGATGTTGAAGAAACATTACTGAAGTGGTCCAGCATTAGAAGAAGCCACAATCTTCCAGTATCTAAACAAATGTCGACGAATTTGCTAAGCAATTTTATGAGACAACTTTTAAGTGCTAAAATGGCAGGTTAGACAGGTTTAAAAAGCGGAATAACAGAAATTCAGGAAAAATTATCTGAGAGTCGGGAANTTTTTTTTTTTTTTTTTTTTTTTTTTTTTTTTTTTTTTTTTTTTTTTTTTTTTTTTTGTACGCAAGACGGAGAGTTATCAAAAAATAACACATGTTTTTGCTACTAGACAATACTTTTCAGTCATTTATTTGGATAATGTGTAATAAAAGGGAGGAGTTAAGGAACCATTAGTTAAATTGCCTGCGTAACGGATATAGTGAACTCCCGGTTACAGTGAACCGAAATGTCAGTCCCTTGAAGGTTCACTATAGCGGGGTTTGACTGTATTTTATTGGTATGCTATTTCTTCAAAACAAGTCTTCAAAACAAACTATTTTAATATTAAAACGCCTTAAAAGGTTAAATAAACCATTTTATAGTTTAATTTATCGCAAATGAACCAGTTTATTTCTTTAAAAGGAAAGTACAATCCTGAGATTGGTTTCAAACAATTCGAAGTCTAAATCAGCCAACATTTTTACAATAACTTTTAGCTACTTTTTTGCATAAATTTAATTATAGCTGCGTGAAGTTGAACATTTGATGAAACTTTCCTCAAGCGAGACTGAACTAGTAGCCAATTAATGAGAAACTAATTAAAAAGCAACCAACATTTGGGCTATTCTAGACAACCAAAATTTTTGATGCAGACTGCCGCTACTTGATGTTAAAGGTCATATACTATCTACAAGCAAAAACATGCTAAATTCATTCTTACTAGCATTTTATAGAATTATTCATTTATGAGAATGAAGATTTTAACACTAACCTTGTCTGTCAGAGGTTGTATGATCAGCTCGTGGCCCTCCAATCCAAGCTGACAGTTCTCCCATTCCTAATCGCCATCGACTTCGAATAGTGGTGACTGCAGGTATGAGCCAAGTACACATGTCTAAATTTGGTCCTCCAACTCCAAAGTCACAAGGATCAGGAGGTTCTTCAGGCACTGTAATACGTTCGAAACGAAGTTCTTGCACATTTTGTACCAGAGAAGAACACATTACCTTACCCACCCAATCAAGGGTGGTCATAGAGCCAAGAACTTTAGTTGTGAACCGAGTGCTGCAGCACTCCCAGCGATCACACCCTGAGAAATTATTAACTCTTCAATCACGCCGAAATTAAGGATGTTAGTAGTTAAGATAAAGGGTGCTTCCCAGTCTGTATTGCGGCTCCAGAAGGAAATGTGCAACCAATATCCGTCAAAACTGAGTGAAATAAGATGCTTTACTTAGAAAAATGGAGATCAGCATAAATCTCCTTTTTTGATTTCCTACTACATCTCTAAAACAATTAGGCTAAAAATGGTTTTTTTGCGCGGATAAAAAAGGTGTTAGTAAAATGAAAGCTGAGAGTGCATGCAGTGCATATTAGAACCAAAACTTTGAAAGAAATAAAATTTTAGGCGAAAATTTGACTCTCTTTTTTTTTTTTTTTTTTTTTTTTTTTTTTTTTNTTTTTTTTTTTTTTTTTGTGAAGTTACTGTGTATGTAATCAGAATAATTTGATAATAAAAAGGGTAAATATGGGAAGAGTAGCAATAAAATTCAAAGAGGATAGGGTATACTTTAAAGACTTAAATTTTTTTTTTTTTAAAAGTGGAATGAAGCCCAAATGAACGTCTAGAAATGGACAGACTTTAGTTTATGTAAACAAAAATATTTCGGTTCTATAAACAAAAATCTTTCTCAGTATCTAAACTTCAAATGATGGTAGAGAAGTAAAGCGACAAACACGTGCAAAGTGGTTTAACCAGTAGAGAAAGAGAAACAATTTTTCAGAAGATAATAATAAAAAGAAGGTGAAGGCGGGAACCCTAGGATGCAACAAATTAAATTAGAATAGACTTCCAATTGCTGGTAACCTAAAAAGATCGTTAAGTAAATTATTAAAACTTTTCAATGTATAGAATGACTCCCAAAAATAAAGTTCGGTAGATGGAGAGTACTCTCCAATGATTTAAGCTGAAGAAAACTGAAACCTTAAATTAGAATTCTTTAATTCTCATTGGCTTCGCAGTCAGGAGCGGTTAGCGCTCCTGACTGCGAAGCCAATGACCGCGGGTTCGATTCCCGCTCTGGGCATGGGTGTTTCTCTCTCTTGTGTTGTCCTCTGTTGTGTGTGATGTGGTCCACCCTGTGAACGGGTTTGTGGCAGTGTGGCATGGGCAATGTTACTCGCCTCCGTGACTCTGGTTCACAGGTGCCCACTGAGTAACGCGAAATGAATAACACTTCTGGCATCTTCTAAGGCGAAACGAATAAAGTTCAGTGCCTGCAATTCAAAAAAAGAGAAGAAAAAAAAAAGAATTCTAAGCTATGTGAAGCGAGGGATGATCAGTTAATGTTCTGAGTTTTTGACGGCAGATTTGATTTTATTCAACTCTCTCTCACACACACATTAACGCTTGCATCTTTAGGTAATATTCTATCTAGACCTTCATCAATTAATTTTTGATATTCCTCTGGATATTTCACTTTGTCTAAAACTACAACTTGACCTCTTTGTCTGTTAAGTAATAACAATTTCCGAGTTAGATTTCAAAGATTATAATTTAGAAAGAGCAATATTGTCAATATTTTTGGTTGAAGGTCTAAAATTCAAATTAACAGTATTAGCAATAAAATTTGAAGTTTATTCTTATTGAGGGGAACTGAGAACACTGAATTTAAAATCTCTCTCAATGGGAGCAATCAACTTGAGTATTAAGGATCGGGAGGGTGCCGTTTAAACTTCGGTAATTATTCCGAATCATCTGAAGTATTTTCTTACACCTACAAATTAACACTGTGCTATGTTTTACGCATTATCTAAAGCTCATAAAGCTGATACTTCTTTTAGACTTATTGTTTCTTGTATGGCACCGCTTCCTGTTAATTAACTAAGCATTTTGTTTTAATTTTGTCCTCATTTTCTAGTATGAATTAATTTACTGTCAGAAACTCGTATGATTTTGTTAATGAGCTTCATACGTTCAAATCTAATGAAAACGGTCTCTTTTGATGTAAAATCCATATTCACTAACGTTGCCGTTAATGCCTTAATTGCCTTATAAAGATATTACAAGTTCCACTTTAGCCAAGTTTAAATTTATGAACTAGTGAATCTTATTCGCATTTGTTTTGAACAGTCCATCTTCACTTTTAATGATAAATTGTATCAAATGATTGATGACTTAGCTATGGGTAATTCTCTCAGCCCCTTCTTAAGTGACCTGTATATGAACTACTTTGAAGTGAAACTATTTGATTTATTAAAGTTCCCTTTTTATAAGCGATATGTCGACGATTGTTTCACATTGATGGAAAATTCTGACATTAATCATGTTCTCAATATTATGAATTCTATAGATCTTTTCATAAAATTCAAATTTGAACAGGAAAATAAGTGTTTACTTTTCTTAGACGTTTATTACTTGTAAGAAATGTTTTTTTTTTTTTCAAATTTTTTTTTATTTTTTTTTTATTTATTTATTTATAAATAACCTTCGTTGAGCAGCCCCCCCAATTTTTTGGGTGTACGACTACTAATGTTCAACTCCATAGCCTTGTAATTTTAAACCCAATCCAGAAGACAATGGATCAAGTATTTGGAGAAATTTGTAATTTGTCTTCGTGAAGGACTTTTTGATGGGACTAACCCGCATTTACGTTACATGGAGAGGAAGACCACGAGAACCTCCCACGGTTGGCCTGACGGCAAGGGGACTCTAACCCAGGATCCGTCTACCACTGAGGATATTTCATGTCAGCACTGTGTTTGGTGCGAGCCGGATGCGGAATTCGTATCGACCTGCCATCGCCGGGACCGAACCTCGGTTCACCTCATTGGGAGGCGAACGCTCTATCCCCTGAGCCATCGCGGCTCTGTAATGGATGGTTGACCATGCAAAGCTAAGAGCAGAAGCGTCGTAAAACCTTCGGGTTACTACATCCTACTGCTTTTTATGCTTTAACTTGGAAAAATGCACCATCCAATATTATTATACTTGTAGTCTTTGCAATTTAACGCATTCTTCCAACCCAACTTCCAGCGAAACAAACAACAAATGAATTAGGAAGATTCCCCAAACTTGCTATAATGCTGCCCAAAAAATAACAAACGGCACTATTTTACCCAAATACAGCTAAATAAGGGATAGCACTCAAAAAATGGCTAAGCTTACATTTCTTTTATGCTGTGATATTAATTTTGTAAAATTTCTTTTAGGCTCACGACCTGATAGAATTTACAAATTACAAGAAACTCTTATGAATGGTAAAACTAAGCGAAAATTTAAACAAAAATCATATTAATAAAATTTCCTGGAATATTAAGCCTGTTCACACATCGCCTCGTAAGCATTACATAAACGGATAGATACACCGAAAGTTTTCTGAATTTTTTCTGGTTTTAGGAAACATTTATTGTTTACATTCAGTCAACCATCCATTGCGATATATTTCTCCTCAATGTTTACCAGAAACCACCCTAAATTACTCCTCTAAGGAAACCACCTGCGATTTCACCCCCCCCCCTCAAAACTTTCATCCTATCCCGCTAACCAAAAATTACGCTCACTTGTTTACCGCACTTCGAAAATTTGTTGAAATATTTATCTTCTCAATGAAGAGGTCTTTAAGCTATCGTTGCAGACCGCGGTTCTTCTACTATTATTGATTCCATCTTCAGAAAATTAATCTCGCAATCTTACCAAACTCTTGAGTTCAAACTTTAAAAATTTGATTGCTATTACCCGAAAATCAGTCCCCAAATTGCAAAACTTTTGAATTTTTTTCCCCTGTAAATAAATTCAATTTCAACAGCCTTAAAGACCCTATTACTGATAATAACAGCTAAAGTATTTATCAAATTTTGAGTCAATGTGGTTTAGCGTATATTAGAAAAACTAAACGTACCCTTAAGATTCGACTTGAAGAACACAAAAGATATGTCAAATATTAGGATATTAACCGATCTTCCGTCGCTCTACATAGTTGGAATTCTAATTATAGGTTTAAGTTTCTTCTTCTGCTATAATCAATCAACAATGCTCTTCATCTACCGAACTTGATTTTTTGGAGTTATTCCATGTTTTGAAAATTCTAATTATTTATTTAATGATCTTTCTGATATCCCACCGTTTTCCAATAAGTGGAAGTCTATTTTAATTTAATCTATAGCACTGTGAGGTTCCCGCCAAAACTTCTCACACCAGCTTCTTATCTTTACCATCATTTGGTGTCTCGACACTGAAGTAGGTTCTTGTTTATAAAATCGTAATTATAGTATGTCCAATTTTTTACAGTCATTTGTGTTATATTCACACTTTATTCCTTTTTTTAATTATTTATTTTGTTTCAGTAGTAATAAGAGTATTAGTAAATATTTCATTGTTTTTATTATTAAGAACAGACAATATAATATACATCAATAAGAATTTATATTAACTACAAACTAGTTTATGAAAAGTTAATTAGGTTTTTTTCTTCGTATTTTACTGTCAATAAATTTGCAATCAATAAATGAAGAAAATAAAAAAATTGAAATTATTCAGATTCACGCATGCTAATGAAGTATATAGTTATGATTACATGTTTATTAAAGATAAAGATTTTTTTACATATAATTATTTCATATTTTTTTTATTGTTGTCTTAATACAAATTGGAATCTCTTTATTATTATCTTTCATTGTCTTAATAATTCATTATTTTTGTAATCACAAACTCTTCAATGAATTCATTTGAGGATTTAATTTATAATTTTTTGAAGTCCGCAAATTATTTGAATGTTCGAAAATATTTTTCTCTTTTTATAATTTCCTTGATAATTTTAAGTTGAAAACAACAATTTTCAACAGTGGAGCTCTGAAAGTAAAAATAAAAGGAAATATAATGATAAACTACCCTTTCAAAACTGTTCAAGACAGCATTTTGGGTGAAGATTTTCACATAGGCGATGAAATGTTTATGTGCGCTCTATCATTAAATGTAAAACATAAGGTATTATTATTTAATACAATATCTTTTTAAAAAGTTACAATACATCACATTTTACTTGTAATTAATTGAGTCTATATCCATAAATTAACGGGATGTTATTATTTCGTGTAATTAATTAATTCAAAGAATTTATCCTTTTTAATCATTTAAAATCGAGTCATTTAAAAAGTATAAAGAATGTAAAAACAATTTATTTTTCAAAGTTTAATGTACGTCTGATTTTGTTAAAATTATTGAATAACTTTTATTCTAATCTGCAAACTCAATTCTAAAATTGTCAGAAATGAGCTAAGCAGACAATACAATGGTTTTTAAAAATTAGTTTTAGATAAAAATAAAATTGAGTTAAATGATAAAAAAATTAATCATGATAGCTGTAAATGGTATTAAAATTAGTTATAATAGCTATAAGAGGCAACCATCACCTACCATCTGCATCAAATTCTTGTCTCTTTATTCTAGTCTGTAATAAAAAGAGATATATTCATATTTTTGGTAAAAACCGAATGTCTAATTTTATAAAAGGAAATGTACAATAGAAAATGTTTCATTACCAATAAATGTTGAATAGGTAAAACTGCAGATTTTTCCTGAATAGCATATTTTTGGTACGTTGAAGGAATCATTGTTAAATTGTGTATTAAAACTCCATCTACAAAACTTAGAATAAAAAATATACCAGCTGTTGATAGTATCTTACTAATCAGCATATCCTTAGGGTTATTAATGTATTGGAGTAAATATTTTAAATATTGAAATATTTTGACGAAATCAAGGTATCAAGAAATATTTAGTATTGATAAATATTTCTTTATTGCATGCTTTTAAAAGTTTACTATTTCCTGAAAATAGTTTTCGTGTAGAAAGGTTCCAAAACCATCAAATCGTACCTAAAGGAGAAAAAAAAACATTTAGCAACAAATGTCAATGTAATGAGAAACATATTAATCTAGTAACCTAATTAAATATTAAAATAAGTTGGAACAATGAATAAAAATGAATAATAAATAGAATTATATTTTTTTTTGGAATTTTATAAAGATATTTAAAAGGTCTGGAAAAAAAAACGAAAATTTTTTATTTGAAATCAAAGCAGATGAATTTGCTTTTTCATTTTCTTGAGAACAGTCGTCTTACATCAAGAGTGATTAGTAATGATAGAATATCAACCATGTTCAAAAATGAAAGAACCTCAGTAGTGTTTAGAAATAAGAGAATGTTATAAGCATTCAAATGTGAGAGATATATCAACAGTGTTGGAAGAGATGGGATACTATTGTCACTCAAAAATTATGGAATATTAAGATACCTCAAATCTGAGAGAATATCAAGATTACAGAAACGAGAGAATATACCCAACAGTGTTCAGAAATTAAGAAATGCATATAAACAGTGTTTAGAGAGAAGAGAATATCTATAATGTGTAGAAAAGAGAGACTAGCAATGTTCGAAATGACAAAGACGGAGAACTTCATTTAAAAATATTCAGTTGCTCTTGTCTTTACTATCGTTCTCAGTATTGATAGAATATCAACGGTTTCCAGAAATGAATGAATCACATCAGTGTTTAGATATGAAAGAATGGCGTTAGTGTTTAGAAATGAGAAAATGTTATCAGTACTCAGAAATGAGAGAATATCAACATTTTTAAAAAACTATGGGATATAAATATCATTGAAAATTAAAAAATAAAAGATCGCTCATAATGGAAAGAATATAGAGGTTACATATGTGTTGTTATGTATTATTTCAGTACATATTAAATAAATGAGCAGGATCTAGCATCTCGCAAACACATTTAATAACAACTTAGCGAGATACACAAACACAAACTGAAACTAAACATAAATGTAAACTGAAACTAAAACTAAACAGTTAACACACAGTTACAGTTAATCTGGCTGATGCCACAACATAAATAAAACAGTGTTCAGAAATGGGGGAAGCTCAATAGTGTTTAAAATATATAAAATTAGTAACAATACCCAGAAAAGCGAGAATACCAACTAAGTTCAAAAATAATAGGACAACGGAGTACTTCGTTTAAATAATCCCTTGTTGTCTTTTTTTCTGTAGTTCACGAGCGTCTTGGCAATCCTAACTTGAAGCATATTGTCTTCCTAACTAATTACTGCTTAACAATAAATTAAGTACGTATTTGCAATTCGCATTTAGTTTGATGCTGTGTTTAGCTATGTTTTATATTCTTAACGTTTCTATTTAATCGATGATCGCATATTGTCGAAAATCTTTTATACAATATTGATAAATTTTTACTTAAGTGCTCCTTTAAAAAATCTAAAAAAAAAAAAAAAAATTTTTTAATACATTAATATTTCCTTATTTTCAAAAGTGATTAGGCAATATCAATCAAAGAGTTTTATTGTTGAGTTGTATAACTATTTCATAAAAATTAAGCATTTTTTTAAATATTTTATTTTTTTAGTACAATAAAAGAAACAATATAAATTCCCACATTATTACTACAATAAGTTGCAGTATTTGATATATTCTATTCGAAAATAAGTATTATAACCTGTCCTTGCTTATATACAAATACATAATTATGAATTGATTATCAAAGTGATCTTATAACTAATATACTCATTAAATAATTGATTTTACCTAGGTTGCGTGTTTCTTGTTCATAAACACTAATTAAAAAATTACTCAATCTCTTTCAGAAATGCCAGAGAAGTAATTAAAAAAGTTTTGAAACGTGCATCTATAGGTAATTTTAATATTTTTAAAATTATTATTTCTAAATTTTTAAATTTATTATTATAAGACAAAATAGCAGTACGTAAGATTTTGTAAATGCTTTAGATAGAATATAGTAAAAATTCTGTTTTATATGCAATATAGAACTATATCGTAAAAATTCTACTTTGCCGACAATCGCACATCATTAGAAACCTTTTACATAATGTATATAAAATTTTCACGAAAGTAGAAATTTGAAAAATAATTTTAAAAAATCTCGATTCAAGCAATATTTTTATTTTTAAAGTAGATTAGTTAATATTCATCCAAGAGTTTTATTGTTTAGTTGAAAAACTTGTACGCAAATATTTCGGTGTGAATCAATGGATAGCTTTATTTAAAAGACAAGTGCAGCAGCATGTGAAGTTTTGTAAATATTTTTAAGATAATATGATAATTAAGGAAACAATATTGTGAAAATTCTATTTTATCGACGATCACGCATCATCGACAACCTTTTATATAATTTTTATAACATTTTTACTAAAATAAAAATTAAAAAAAAAGCGCTTAAGTACTTTCATTTTTAAAATAGATTAGCTAATATTTATCCAAGAGTTTGATTGTTTAGTTGCATAACTTTTGAGCAAATATTTTGACGCGTTTCAATGGATTACTTCATTTAAAAGACAAGTGTAACAGTATGTAAAGTTTTGCAAATATTTATAAAATAATATGATAATTAAAGAAACAATATTGCGAAAATTCTATTTTATCGACGATCGCGCGTCCTCGAAAACCTTTTATATAATTTTTATAACATTTTCACTAAAATAAAAATCTAAAAAAAAAAAGCGCTTAAGTACTTTCATTTTTAAAATAGATTAGCTAATTTTTATCCAAGAGTTTGATTATTTAGTTGCACAGCTTTTGAGCAAATATTTTGACACGTATTAATGGATTACTTTATTTAAAAGACAAGTGTAACAGTATGTAAAGTTTTGCAAATATTTATAAGATAATATAATAATTAAAGAAACAATATTGTGAAAATTCTATTATAACGAAGATCGCGCATCATCGAAAACCTTTCATATAATCTTTATAACATTTTCACCAAAATAAAAATTTTAAAAATAAAGAAATCTTAATAAAAGTGATATTTTTAAAATAGATTAGCTAATATTCATCCAAGACTTTTATTGTTTAGCTTAATAACTTTTTCACAAATATTTTAATGCGCAGAAGTATGTAAATTTTTTCAAATATTTTACATAGTGATTTCATAATTAAAGAAATAGTCTAGTGAAAACGAAGTGATGTTTCCTCAAATAGTTAGAGCGAGAAGTCTCGCTGTTAGAGAGATTCTCCAATTGATTATCGTAACTGTTTAAAAATTTATACAGGGTGAACTGCCTTTGTAATCAGCTTGACATGAAAACGCGGTTGTATTCATATTTAATCGATGCAACTGAATATGAAGCAAAGCTATTTCAGCTCCATATTTCCGTATACTGAAGTTAAGCACTAGCAAATAAAAAGAATATCATTACAAAACTAAGATTTTTGCTTTATAGTATTGAAAGTACAGATTTGACATTAGATGATGGTTTTATTTAATAACAAATTATATTGTTTAGAAATCCTTGTAGATCATAAAGTTTCTAATAATGTCAGAAATCTATTTGTTTAAATGAACTAAACTGGATGTAATGACCTATTAATATGCACAGAATTTACATTTTTAGACTTTAAAAAGAAAAAAAATTAGAAAATTTTATTTCCCTTACATAGCTTTATATATTTTTATGAGGTCATATATTTTTTTGTAATAAAATTTATAATTTGAGACATTAATTGTCGGAGGAATATTCTAAAACACCTCAAGGAAAAAATATTTTTTTATAATTTGATATGATAAAGGTCAATTTGTGTTTTTCAAATTTATGACTCTTTATTAAAACGCTTTTTTTATCTCAGTTTTTCCAGAAAAATAATATCTTCTTCACCTCAAAATAATTGAATATATTTAACCAAAATAACAATGATAACATTAACTTTGAATTTCGTCAACAATCTTGCGTAATTTGTATGATTTTGAAAGTTGCTATTTTTTATGTAATTATTAGACAGAACAAAGAGATAAGAATATTTTAGTTATTTCTTATTATATATTGTAAGAGTCTAGTTTGTAATGCCAAAACGCAACCTGATTCAATGGTTTTAAATTTCGTATCAACCTCTAAGAAGGTTCATAAATCTTTTTGTAAAATACTTTACAAATATACTTCCAATCTCAGATTTAAAGCTTCTGATATACAGTGCACAGAAAAATAAATTAATCCCCTGAATAATTTTTGTCCTAATTATCGAATCTTCTCGTACTGGAACTCAATCTTAATGGTTCAAGAAGTGACCTCAAATATGCTGATTAATTAGTGCAGACGATAATTTAAGTTACGAAATCAGACCCAAAAATGCACCTTCTCTGAACAAACATATATTTTTCGACAGATTTAGATTCATTACCCTCAATATATAGAAGATAGTCGTAATCTGGAAAGTATGGTTCCAAATAGTGTGGTCAGCACAGCGTATCAGGACAGTTTTTTGTTAATTTTACTTTTGCGTATTTCTCCATATCTCAAGAATTTGAATGCGAATCGAAACATTTTTGCACACAATTGTAAAATTCGTTTAGTCGCCGATAATTCGGTGTGAAAATTTTTTTTTAATAATTACTTATTGTTGTTTTATTTTGAATTGCAAAGTCTATAAATTTTTACATCATTTTAAAGAATGCTATTTTATGAGACAAATTACTAAATTTGAACGAAATTGGTGAAATAGCACTAGAGAAATCAAATTTTAAAGACGTCGTGTACTTAAAATTTGATTTTTCAGAATTTTTCGACAGATTTCTTTCAAATTTAATATTTTACATTTTACAATTATGCTTGCGGCAGACCGTTTTATATTTCTATCGGTAATTTCATAGTTATCTAAATATCACTTAATGTGTTCTAACATTTGTTTTTTAGCTGTTTTAAAATCATAATCAAAATCATCATAAATTGTTTTTAAAAAATTAAAGAAAATGCAGACAGAAACATTTAAATATGTTTTTTTTTAATTATAATAAGTTTTAACATTTATGCAAATAGAAAACTATTATATATTTTTAATC